GCGCCGCGTCGGGACCAACGGCCGCCTTGCTCGTCGGCGACAATTGGATCTAACAGCCTCCATCATCAACACGATATGGCATGACTAGTGTACCCGTGGCGGCAGCGACGGCGGTGTGGCGTCCGGAAACCACAGGGCGAGCGTCGGCAGCACGCGGAGGCGCAGTCGGGCCTGGCACGCACGCTGGGCGACGAGCACACCGCCACAGGCTTTGAGCATCGCCAGGGCTTCGTGGAGGTGGCTCCAGTCGACGGTAGCTCCTGGCGCCGGCGCCGGTGCCATCTTGCTGGACCACATCTGCGCGAGGGCGGAGAGGCCGGTAGTGAGCGCCTCAAGGGCCTCGGGCAGCACAGCGCCTGCCATTAACTCCATTGCGTGCTGTACGCGGGCCTCCACGAGAAGCCAGACGCGCGCGCTGAGCTCGTCCACTGCAGGCGCGAGGAGCGTCGATGTGGACGGTAGTAGGGCGAGGAGCGACTCGGTCACGACGCTCGTCTCGATGCGCTCGTACATGGTAAAGCTGGCTTCAAACGGGCCAAACACGCTGTGGAGGACCTTGTGGACATCGGCGGCCGTCGGCGTCGTCCACGACACAACGGTGTGCAGCAGCACGCGGTGCGCGAATCGGGTCGCCGCTTTGAACGCCGGCAAGAGCTGCGCTGGCGCGGCGTCGAGGAGGCTCGCAACCGCCGAAGCGAGCGGCGACAGCGTCGCATGCACAAGCTCGAGCACGACAGGCAGAGGCGCGGCAAAAAGTTGCTGGCAGTAGCGCGTCTCGCGCTCCAAGAACGATTCGACTTCGGCGTAAAAAGCGGCGAGACCGTCGGCATCGGCGGGCGTTGACGCGTGCCAGAGACGGTGCATGGGCGCGGGCCGGCGCTTTGCGTACGCGTCTTCGACGAGCGACGCCCGGTTCAAGTGCGCGAAAATCGCGAGGCAGTCCTGGAGGGGCGACAAGGGCAGCGTCGGCTCCTGCAGAAGCGTGTGCAGCTGCGGCACAAGCGCGGTCTCGACGTCGCGCGATACGCTATCGAGATCTTAGACGTGATTCATCACAGGGCAAAGACGTGTACGTATCCATGGTGGCGGCCCGCTCGTCGTGGCCGGGCATTCGCTGGAGAGTCTCCAGGCTCTTGTGCATGGCAGCGAGATGCGTCGCCAGCTTGGCAAGGTCGAGCGTTGGGTCGGCAGTTACCTGTACGACGTATCGGCTATGTTGCTTCCATGCTGCGCTCTCCTGCAGCGCGTTTGAGCATTGCTGCATGTGCATCTTGGCCGTGTGGAGTTGCGAGAGCGTGTTGTAGGCAGGCGTGGCATCGCCTACAGCATGCGCGCAATTGTAGTGCTGTGCCAGGGTGTGGTCCGTACCGCGTGCACTTTGCGTGCTTGGGCTATGCGTATGCAAACTCTGCCCCAGCGTCTGCGTCTTGAGCTGGAGCAGCTGGACATGGTTGACAAAGGACGGAAAGGTCTCGAGACACTGCTGCAAGTTGGCGCTGAGCTCCTGTGAAAGCACATGGAACTGCGGAAGGAGGCCCTCGAGATGCGTCTTGGGGTCGCCCGGCGCGACGCTCACTTGCGCGTCGATCCAGGCGTAGATGTCGCCGACATCGTCGCCGAGGTCGGCCACCGTCAGCACCGCCGAGTTCATATTGCATATGGCGATCTCCGGTTATTGTGGCTTGCATAGCGCGTGGCCATTTTCACCTCCAAAAAACCATCGATTAGCAGCGATAATCGATGGTTTTATTAGATAATCGAGGCATAGCGCGACATGCGTAAATTATAAATTCTGGTGGGACAGTCTCCAAAAAAGAATATAACTATTACAAAATATACGCCATGTATTTGTATGCTATATTTATGGTTTGACTAAAGATGTCGAGCAGGCCACCCGCTTTTGTCTCTTTTGTCATTTGACACCTTAGCCCACGCCTCAAGCGAGCGCTAACCTGAGCGCTAATCAATGGATAGCGGAGGATAATCCGAAGGTTTGCATTTCTGAAATGGCAAACCTTCGGATTATCCTCCGCTATTCAATGATTAGCGCTCAGGTTAGCGCTCGCCTGAGGCGTGGCTGCGGACGGCTAGGAGGAGCGCTGGCCATTGAATAGCAACGGATGACCGCTATCCAGTGGTTTGCGCTCCTGCTCGAGGGATATCCGTGGACTAACAGCAAAGCGCAAACGCTATGCGTAATGTAGCTCGGGGGCGAGACGGAGCTCCTGGTCACGGCACTTCTTCTCCACAGCGCTCACTGCCACAACTCCACGTCTCTTCCTGGTGCTAAGATCCAAGCCGCTTTAGTGCTTAGCGCGGCACGGTGCGCATTATTAGTCAAGACAGTTGCGGTCATGGCTAGTTTCCGCTGGGTTTGCACGTGGGCGCTCGCGTTTAAGCCACGAAAACACGATGTTATTGCGTTATCTGGCACTACGCTACATGGCAGCGGCTATGAGCCTTCTCCACTGCGGTGTATGGGTAGGCGACGGAGCCGTGGCGCACGCGGCGCTTGAGCTCCTGCTGCGCAGGCGCCATCATCGGCGCGTTGCCGACGCTCACGCCGGACGAGCATGTCCCCGAGCCAAACGTCTTCGTATCTCTTGCGGTTCTTGACCACCTAGCTACTAGCAGCGATCTGTACCTAGAGGATGGTGTCGATGCGGCACACGATGAGCGCATTGCCGGCGTGCATGCTCGCGCTCATCCCACGGCCATCGCTCGTCTAACGCCGGCCGCGCAGCGCTGCGCCGCGCAATGGTCGCTCCTTCGACAGCCTTGCGCACGTGCTGCTGCTATCGGTACTGTTGCACGAAGGTGGTCTCGACGAAGCGCCGGGTGTGCGCAGCCGGGTGCTGTACGCCATAGTCGGGTACGGGAGGCGTGCCGCAGAGGGGCCGTGGGCGCCACGGACCAGTCTGCACCAGCAAGGGATCGACCGTCAGCGCGCGCGCGGCGCGGCGGCCTACATCGTGTCGACATGGTTGATGCGCGCCCCTCGAGTCCGAGTACGCACGCCGGCCCACGTTCAAAATGGTTGGCCATGCCAGCTGTTGACCTATTGCCAAACGTCTCGCTACTAAATCGCTACTAAACGATGGTTAGCGAGCTAACCAACGGGTAGCTCAGCCAATCACATGGCCGCATTTCGGTCCCTCTTTTTGGCAAAGCCTGCTTATCACATTTCATAATATATCAAACTTCGACAGGTTTTGCGAGAAAAAAAATATTGGCGGAGCAGCCTCGATTATCGCCGACACGCGCTATGCAAAGCACAATACCGTCCCGAATATCCGAACGCACCTCCGGCCTTGCCTCCGGATTTTCAACTCCGGGGAGGCTCCGGGTTTGCCATCATACACTATTTGCATGTCGTAGACGAGCAATGTTGCTGCACGCTCTTCACGATCCTTGAGGAGAAGAACGAAAGAATCGGCAACGTTGGCACGTATGGTCGCCGTCACGCCCCAGCCTATGCAGATCGTTCGCCGGTTTAAAGGCTACCGGAGGTTGCAGATTCTCTGGCCCAGTACACAACACCGCCACACACTCCTTGCTTGGAGACGCAGCGTACCGTGCAAGCGCCTTGAGAGGGTACCAAACATGTAGGATTGTGCAATTGTGGTAGACGAACCTAGATGGGTTGTCGGTGCGGAGGAGCGACAACGCCGCAGACACGCGCGCCAGCTTGTTGAACTGAGTCGCCGAGGCAAGTCCAACCTCAAGGTTGGTGTCTCTCGCGTCGTTTTCGCCAGATACGGGTGATTGCAGCCGTCGTCGTGGTCGTGGCCATGACGCAGCCCGCGTCGCATTCCATCTTGAGCTGGCGTCGCTAGTAGTTCGGTAGGAACAACGTCGTGAGCTACCGTGGTGTACCTCTTTTGTGTCGCGCGCGGAGGACGCATATTGGGTCGGAGAACGATGTGCTGGGGATGGCGCCACTCACCTCACGTACGTGCGCCATCGTCCGCGTACACGGTACTGCAACGTATTGCGAGTCGTACAGTGTACTAGTAGATGGTTCGCTCTTGCTTTGCCAGCACACACGCCGACGTCGCTCCGAGACCGCGCAGTTGTGGATGACGATACATGCCACGACTGTGCTGCTAGCTGCCTGGACACGGTGTCGATCCTTGCACCAGGTACCAGGTACCAGGTGCCGGGTTGAGATCTTGAACAGCCATCCTCCTCGCCTCTTGTAGGACCCGGCTTCTGATTCGTGCGCGATCGCCTAGACAGGACGACGCAACCAACTCATACGCTGTCGACGACACCAAGGTTACTGGAGCGCTGCTGCAAAGCCTTGCCACGCCAATAGGAATGCGGATTGACGGTTGATATTGTCTGCAGAACCAGTGACATTTAGCGTACATAGATAGCATCGTGGTCGACTTTAAATTTGCTATGGCGGGAGGGATGTGCGTCCGTTCGTAACAGATCTAGTACTTTTCGTTGTCCCCGCCGTCAACCGCGCCCGAATCTACAGCTTCCGCGTGACGGAGACGTGTCTGGGCGCGCGCGTGTGTCATGCGCCTGGGCTGGTCGGCAGTTGTGGCATCATGGACACGGAAATAGTGTGAAATTGGGTATTGGCGGTATTGACCGCCCAACCAGCGCTGTGCAGCGAGCGACGACCTTCTGTAGGGCTCGGCCTCCTTTCAGCTCTCGCGGCAGGCAAGTGAGAGCGTCGCCGCCGTCGCTAATAGCGGCGAGGCGCGGGGCAAAGCGCCAAAGAGCCATTTCTCACGAGATGACCTACAGCGGCTGACGCGCCGGCCAGCTGGCGCTGCTGCAATACAATGCATTTCAGACAGATTCATACAAACTTTGCATTGAATTTGTTCAATTCAATAAATTGGGCGCGACAGGCTGCAGTAGGTACGGCGCACTTATACGGCGTCAATACATAAAACAAGTGTACGTTTCAAGTACGATCGCACTTGACGGGACAAAAATGCATTCAGAAAGGCAGATGGAGATAAAAAATTCTGCTGCTACAGTGTACCGTGGCCTTGCTTTGCCCGACGCGCAGTCGCCAGAAAGACCACCATGTCCAAGAAGTTCTTCCCGCTGTCGCCCGGCTTCTTCAAGTGCCCGCCCTTGAGCCGGCAGGAGGGCGAGCACCTCATCGCGCTCGGGAAGCAGTCCAGCCTCGACTTTATCAAGCACGCCAACCTCGAGGCCAACAAGGACGTGGTCTGGAACGAGTTTGGCAAGAAGCAGAACGTCATGCTCTATCGTGGCGTCAACACCAAGCCGCAGGCAACACACTTTGTCATGCTCTGCGCCGTCGCCGAAGTCGCCGGCTCGCTCGAAGAGGTGGCGGCCATGCACGCGTACAACACACCGGAGAAGCTGCGCAAGTACGTCAATGACTCGGAGGACCTCGTGGACATGGTCACGCTCTACGACCTGACGCCGCCACACGACACATCGTCCAGCGCACCGCGCCGCCTCCTACCACCGTCCTCATCGCTCAAGGTCTCGGTGCAGTGGGCCGGCATGAAGGTGCCCGCGGCCGCGTCCGCGTTTGTTTTCAACCGCGACTTTTGCTACATTGAGACGCAGGACTTTTTCGTTGATGCCAAAGGCCGGCGCGGCTGGGCGCTCTCCCAGAACTCGATGGACCTTGCGTGCTGCCCGCAGTTGCCGTCGGTGTTTGGCTCGATCCGCGGCTCGCTCGAGCGGTCGGGGTACACCTTTGTCGAGTCGGAAAACCACGGTAAGCGAGTCCCTCTCTCTCTGCGACTGAGTGTGGCGTAGGCTACCTCAAGGCAACGCAAATGTTCCAGGTCGACTTTCGCGGCAAGATCCCGATCTGGGTCCAGAACCTTATTCTGAAGGGCCGGCTCAACACGATGATCCACTTCAACACGCGCGTGCACGAGTACCGCCTCAAGTCGGTCGAGCTCCTCACCGAGTTTGACGTGCGGCGCACCAACACGGCCGCGCGCACCAACTGCTACGTCTGCCGCAAAAAGTTTCGGTTCCTGAATCGCAAGTTCCAGTGCCGCAAGTGCGGCGAGGTCGTCTGCTCGAGCTGCCAGCACACGTGGAACATTGACATTCCGCACAGCGACCGGAAGCGCAAGGTGACCATCTGCTCCATGTGCACGGCGTCGGTCCGTAACGGCAACTTGAGCTCGCTCCACCTCTCGAACGAATCCTTCAATGGCCCTGGTATGTATCGTGGACCCTACCCCTTGAACTAACAACCCACTAGTGTCGGGGTCGCTCTCGGTGCCGTCGCTTTCGCGCGCGTACTCGTACGACGAGTTTATGCACGTGCCGATGAAAGGGTCGTTTGCGCTCCGGAAGAAGTCGCACTCCAACTCGGTGGACCTCGACGTGAGCGGGTACAGCGAGGTTGACGACCCGGGCTACGAGGCGCCGTGCGTGCCCGTGGACCTCGACTCGCTCCTTGGCGAGTCGCCGCCGATCGATGCGCGCTGGGGCGAGGGCGAAGTCGCCCTCGAAGAAGAGTGCCACGAGTACAAGCCCAACTTGTTTCGAAAGGGCTTTTGTATGAACTGCCAGAAGCAGCACGAGGTCACGGACGAAGGGGACATCTCGCTCACGCGCCGCTTCACGCGCATTCACGTGCAGCCCGGCAAGACGGCGGCGAGCGCCGAGTTCAACCCACTGGCGCTGCCCGAGAACAGCGCGCTCTCGATGGAGCTGCGGCGATCGCGCTGCGACTCGAGCGACTCGACGATTAGCTTGCCGCGGTCGCGCCTCGGGTCGCTCGACATTGATGACGAGACCAACAACGCGAGCATGTTCAAGCGCAAGGGCATGCGCGTCCTTATGAACCAGATGAGCGACCTCATGGAGGAGTACGGAGCGGACGACCCAGCGGCGTTGGACGCGAGCGCGCTCGAAGCCAAGCTTGCGTCGCTGCAAGCGCAACTCGAGAGCCTCCAGCTCGACCAAGCAAGACTCAAGAAGAGCACCGTGGTCCGCGTCTAAGCCGCGCTTATTTATGCGACAACACACAGAATCTAGCCAGTCCCACGACTACATACACCACCAAGATGATATGTTATCCCTCTGCGTTGGTCCTGCAGCGGCATGTAGAGGAGTGCGGCTTTGGCGCTTGAATGACTCTGGGCGCGTCACTGGCACCACTGCAGTCGAAAGGACAATCCTCCCGGCGCTGGATGGTGTGGTGGCGACATGACGAGATGCTACTTGCGCCACACGAAACGACGTCAGCGCCGCTGCCACGTCACAGAACTTCCCATCGCGAAACGGAACGCTCGCCAGTTGTGCTCCGATGGCAACTAACGGCCAATGCGCGAGGCCTCGACGGACGGCCGCCACGTCGATCCTGTGTACACGGCGACTCGGGAAAGCACGTCGTAGTAGTAGGGCTATCAGTGGACAAGGTCAGACGCCGCGATAAGGTTGCTGGTCGACGAGGTGTTTGTCGCTGGCGTAACCCCGACAGTCCAATTTATATCGAAGCGAATGGCCATCTCGCCGCCCACTATCACCGGGAGGAACCGGAGATCGGTTCAGCTGCGCCGACAAGCTACTGCGGCTCGGGTCGGTCAGATTACTTTTTACTCGACGATGAGCCGCGCCTCGTGCTTGGTGCCGCCGACAACACCCCGCGCCCCGAGCGACGCGCTCGTGCTCCAGGCCAAGCACGCGCTGCGACTGTACGTCGACGACGCGCAGGTGCAAGGCCGCGCCCGCCGCGTCACGTGGAAGCTCGACAAGATCTCGGAAAATGGCAAGATCCAGTACTACACGGGCCAAGCGATCGACGGCAGCGTTGTCGTTGCCAGCGCGACGCAGCTGCACGCGACGCTCGAGGAGGCCGCCCAACTCTGCGCGCAGCTGCAGCCATTCCAGGTCGTCGACGCGACCGAGTCGACACGGCTCTTTGAAGCGCACACGCCAGACCAGCCGCCGCACCGGTACGTCGGCGTCCAGTGGATGGCGTTCGCCGTCCCCGGCGTCGGGAAGGGCCGCGACGCGTGCGTCCTCGAGGTGCATTGCTGTTGTCATTTCCAGGCTGAAATTGGCGTTTTACCTAGTGCCGGGATACGGTCGTCAACGAGCGCGGCGAGCCCGTGTACGCGTACCTCCTCGAGTCGATCGAGACGCCAGTGTGCGCGTCGCTCGAGGCGACCCACGGCTTTGTGCGGGCGACGCTGCGCATGACAGGGTATGTCTTCACGCAAGTGCGGCCCGGCCTCCTCCTCGCCGTGCACACGATGCACGTGCACTTCAAGGGCAACCTCCCGAAAGTGCTCGGGCGGCTCTTTGGGAAGCGGCGCGTCGCGAGCCTCGAGCACCTCGAGCAGGCGCTGTGGCAGCTGCGCAACGCCGATACCTTTCTCTTCACGGACCAGCACCGCAAGCGCGCGTGCCCGATTTGCTTCAAACCGTGGAAGCGCCTCCAGACCAAGAAAAAGTGCGGCGCGTGCAGCGCCCGCGTCTGCGCCGCCTGCTGCACGACGGGCCTCGTCCCCGGGTTGCACAAGGTCGTGCCGTTCTGCCTCGCGTGCGCGTTTGCGGCGCCATCGACGCTCTCGTCGACGTCGCTTTTGACGGCGACCGCGTCCTTTGCGTCCGACTCGACCGCGAGCTCGATCCGCATGCTGCGGGCGTGGAGTCTCAACGACGACGACGACGGGCCAGACGGCTACAGCACGGCGGCGTCGTCCGTGCGGTCGTCCCGACTGACACGGGAGACCCTCCACGCCCTCGCGCCACCCGCAAGCACTCGCCGCAGCATCGCAACCGACATCTCGCGCAACAGCGAAATCTGGACCGACGCGATCTCGGTCTTCCGGGACCACGTCGATAGCTTCAAGGCGTACCACGCACCAAGCACGACGCCCGTGCAGTGGCGCCTCGGGTAGCTGCGCATGGTTGCTATTGTCGTCGTTGTCCAGTGTCTCGGTGTCCAAGTCGTTTAGGGGTAGGGTGCTGCCATAAGAAATGATTTTCGTGTTTCGAGAAAGAATCTTCATCGCGCAAGACGACGGCTCCAGCTACTCGGTATGATGCGTCGACGACTGGTTCTTCTTCAGGAGAAGCCGTGCCAACTGCGCTGTCGTTGTTTGACCTGGTCGTACCCGGTGTCTATGCACATCCTGCATCTCGTCGTGGCCACCCGTACCTGCTCAGTCGCGCTGCTTCCACCATGGCCCATCGAAGCTACTCGGCGACCTGATCCGATCATTTCCATTCGCTTCGATAGATCTCGTCGAATGCTGCGTGACGATGGGCTGCCACACTTCTGGTCAGCGCGTCCTGGCGGCGCGGTTGGGTGAATTTAGCCGCGTGGTTGAAGTTCCGACACCACAGTGGTCTTTCCAACGGCTAAGAGTAGCATTGAGAGCAGCATGCACTGCTTTGCCGTCGTCGTCGTCCGTCACCCGCGCACAAAGCGCTGGCTCGCGGTGCAGGAGACGTCCAAACACAATCGCCTCTGGTGGCTGCCAGCTGGCCGCGTCGAGACTGGCGAAACCTTTCCGGCTGCTGCCGTCCGCGAGACGCGGGAGGAGGCTGGCATCGACATTCGACTCATTGGCATCCTGCGCGTCGAGCACACGCCGCTTGGACCACAAAGCGACCGCATGCGCATCGTATTTTACGCCGAGCCGATGGATGCGGACGCGCCGCTCAAGACGACGGCGGACGACGAGTCGCTCGGGGCGGTGTGGACGACCGTGTCCGAGCTCGAGGCGTGGAACGCTGCGGGTCAGCTTCGCGGCAAGGAGCTTCTGAACTGGGCCCTGTACCTCGAGCAAGGGGGCGAGGTCGCACCACTCGCTACGCTTGGCGCCGAGTCGAGCGGGCCAGAGCCACATGATACCCTGCACATGGAGTTTCGCGTCTTTTTCCAGCCGTCCAAGCCGAATTATCGGTACACGACGATTCCGCTCGCGCCGGTCGAAGCGCGAACGGACGTCTACATCGTCCACAGCGCAGGCGTCGGGATCAAGCATCGCGGCGGAAATCGCTTGGAGATCAAGGTGCGCACAGTGGACGCTGGCGACGGCTGGGAAGCGTGGACAAAACATCGGTGCGACGACGCCGACGTGAACGCAGCACTGGCGCGGCTCGACTTGGCGTCACTGCCCGCGCACCCCAGAGACGTCCGCGTTCAGAAGCGCCGTGTCGCAACGGTCATTGGCGGTTTGTACCTCCTGGAAGAGTCGGACGTCGTCGTGAGCATCGACGGCGACCACGCATTGTGGAAGACGATCTGCATCGAGGGCACGCGCCGTGAATGCGAAAGCGCCGCCGAGGCCCTCGTCCACGTCTCGCTCCGGCACGAACTCGTCTTTCGAGGCGGGTACCCGGCCTTTGTGCGCGACGTCGTCCAGCGACGCGCCACGTCACAGCCCGGATGCGTCGACAACTAGCAACGTTTGAAAAAAGAAGGTGGGCCTCAACGAATTATTGGCATCCTGCGACCAGGAAAAGGTGCCGAGGGGCAGCCAGCTGCACGCCCTCGCTTGGGTGCAAGCTCGCGCTGTGGCGTATCCGAATACAGAGGTTTTGCGTGGGCGTTTGATACAGGCTGAAAGACTTGATGCATCCATTGTCAGAGGTCATGCAATGTGGGAGGGCGGTGAGGTGGCTACTCTCACTGGGGCGCGTCCCTTCCTGGCGTGTGACGCCGCCGATGACGTATGCTGCCCGGTCGACGACAGCCGTGGTTGCTGGCAGTAAACGGCTGTCACGTCGCCTTCGATTCGAAGACAGAATCTTTTGCGTGTCAACATCGAGTGTTGATTAAACAATTCGCGCGGCCTTTCCAGCACCCAATCGGGCATTTGCGATCTCACCACCCGAGCAATGCAGCAGCGCGTCCTCACGAGCCGCGACCTCATGGCCACGATCTTTGCGTACCAAGCGGGCTACGACGGCTTGTGCCAGACGCTGCCAGCCAAGTGGATGACGTCCGCTGCGAGCATTGAAGCCGCGCTGAGCACGACCACGGGCAGCGGCATCCGCGACTTTCTCGGCTTCATCGACACATCCGTCCACGCCGTCATGCGTGCATGGCACGCCCGACATGGCCCGCGCGGCCTCCTACGACTCGCCGCCTGCCGCCACCCGATCGTGCCCATTCTGCTCGACGAAGCGCTCGCGACGGGTCACTACGACCGGTGGCTGTTGCTCGTGACCGCGCAGCCAACGTTCCTTCCGATTTCGCATGTCACGTGGCACGACGCCGGCTTTGCCAGTACGTGGCGGCGCTCGACGCTCGACGTGGCGGTCGTTCGCGGGTCGCTGCCGTTTGTGCGCTTCTTGCACTTGCACGGCGTCGTCGGTTCGTGGTGGGTCCTCGACTGGGCCGCCGAGCACGGCCAGCTCGACATCCTGCGCTACTTGCACGCGACCGGTCGGTACTTTTGCACGCCGCGCGCCATGGACCTTGCCGCGCACAATGGTCACTTGGAGGTCGTCAAGTTCCTCCACTACTTTCGCCGCGAGGGTGGCAGCACGTGGGCGATCGACTGGGCTGCGAAGAACGGCCACCTCGACATTGTCGAGTTTCTACATCGGAAGCGCGATGAAGGCTGCACGGTCGACGCGCTCACGGGCGCTGCGGCCGGCGGCCACCTCGCTGTCGTCCAGTTCCTCTTTGCGTACCGCCACGAAGGCGACGTCACCGCAGCGCTCGAAGCCGCGGCCAGTCACGGCCACCTCCACGTTGTGCAGTTTCTCTGCGACTGCGTCGGCGGCGCACCGCGCTCTGTGCGGCAGCAAGCCCGCGCCCACCACCAATGGGCGGTCCTAACTTATCTCGGCCACCAGCGCGAAGTGCGTGACTGCTCGTATGCGTAATCTATTGTATTGATACACACCGTGTTTATGCAGCAGCGCGCGCGACGCCGTGTTGAGGTCAACACGCACGGTCGGCTACAAGACACGCGCCAGTGGAGCCCAAGTGTCTCGGTCGCGTCAACGGTGTCGCGGGCTCGCGGAAGCGCCTGCCTCCTTCCTGCCAGCGGTCACGTCGGCGCGGGCTTCAACGACCGACCTCTCCTTCGTTCAAACAGCTGCAAGGACTTCTTGAGCTAATACCTTAAAACCTGACTGCTCTGTCAATGTCACTGTTTGGCTCTACGACGGCCAGCTACGATGGCCTGGCACAGGGTGGGGACTCCTACCAAGGCCACAACTACCTCAAATACCCTCGACCACAAACTCCCTCGACCGTAGCGAGGCCAAGATACCGCTTCAAAACATCGACAAGAGGACGTAGAACTAGCGCGGTTAATGCTCGGTATGGTTGTTGCACTCGTCGTCGCCGTCAAAGTGCTCGTGGTATTCGTTGATCCACTGCCGCGTCCGCACGGTGTGGTGCATCGCCTTCTCTTGGTGCCACGGGCCCGAGAAGCCATGGCCGTACAGCCAGCCTTCGTCTGTCCCTGCCATCGGGTAGAACGTCCACGCGCCCTTCGTCTTGTACCCCGCGGGGACCTCGGGGACCGCGGCCTTGAAGTCCTGCCCGCCCTTCTCACCGCCCGCAAACCATGCAGGACGGTCGCTCTCGGTCAAATGGTCTTTCGACCATTCGCGGTGCGTCCGCGACCAGCGCTCGTTCTCCCAGACGTTGACTGTGTACGTCGTCGACGGCGCGCCAATCGAAATGTCAAGCGCGATCAATCCCTACGAGCAAATGTGTCAACGGCGCCGTTGGGTTGTACATGGCGACGAACCGGCGCAGACTTGGCAAACTCGAGCGCGGGCGTGAGCTCATACACGTGCGCTCCGAGGTTTGCGGGGTCGGCCAAGCTGATTTCCGTCGTGCCGAGGAGGTCGTCGGGTGTGACCGAGTCAAAGTCCCAGACCTCCACGCGCAAGACGGGCTCGGCCGCGACCTCGGAGAGCGTGAGCGCAATCTCGCACTCGAGGTTGCTCCACTGCGGGTTGAGCGTTTTCATGCACACAGGGCTCTGCCAGCGGTGGGCACCGATCGAGAGTACGACGTAAGGGTCGCTGGACCCGCCAAACATAGCGAGGTCGCCGACGGGCAGGTTCTTGGCTTCTTCGAGGATGATGCGCACAGTGCGCATGGGCTCTAGCGTCGGCCAGCTTCAGCGCGGCCTTCAGAGGAAGCGTACCATGAGGGAGGTGCTCAAGGTGCTTGCGCGACTTGAACATGCTGGTAGAGTCGAGACTGCTGCTGCTCGCGGCTCGCCAAAGATTTTTGTGAGCAGGCCCTGTCGAAATTGTACGTATCCGGATGGGTATTTCCTTCAAAGCAAAACTGTCACTCACTATATTGGTAGAGTGGGGACGCAGACTGGAATACTATACAATCATGGATGGATAAATTCCCTAATATGCAGGCTTGGAGTGTTGTATGCATAGAATAGTACCAGCTCTGCCACGTACCCACCTTGCGGCAGTCTCAGTCCGCTGGCGACCGATGACCGCGTGTGGCGTGGCTGACGCACGACACGAGCTTATTCACACTGCCCAGTGGCGTGCCTCTGGAAAGAGCTCGCTGCATACGTACAGGCTGGCACTCGGCTCTCCCGACGACGGTGGCACGGTTTCAGGCGAGGTGATGGAGGATCGACAGTGGCCGTTGCAAGATACTCTTTTGCAGCCGCGACACGACCGAGATGCTGACCGTCGTCACGAGCAGCGACCTGCTGCGCACGATCTGCGCGTACCAAGTCGGCGTGTACGACATCTGCCGCGAGCCATGGGTCGCCAAGCAGTGGGCACGAACCAAGGCTGCGGACCTCGGCGCGTCCTCGTCGTTCCACCGCGACTCGTGGGGCATCTCGGCCTTTGAGTATGACCTCTTTCACTTTCAGGTGCACTTTGGCCCGTGGTACGCCTGCCACGGCGTTGACGGCGCCAAACGACTTGTGGCGTGCAAGCCAGCGCTGCTATCGTGGGTGCTCGATCACAGCGTGCGGCACGGTGACGCTAACCTCTTGGCTGCGCTTCCAGCGAACACGTACACCACACCCACGATGATCAACGTTGCGGCCTACTACGGGCACTTGCGCGTTCTGCAGCTGCTCATGGGCAACCAAGCGCCAGGCTTCTCAAGCGCCGCAGTCCACGCCGCCGCGTATCGAGGCCACATGCACGTCGTCCAGTGGCTCGTCGCCCGCGGCGTGCGGTACGCCGAGACGTACACTTGCCTCCTTGGCGGCACGTTCACCGTGGATGCGATGGGGTTTGCTGCCGAGGCCGGCCACCTCGACGTCGTCATGTACCTCTTTGGCGTCCAGACTCTGCGCAATGTATCGCTGGCGATCAACAAGGCCGCGGTGCAGGGGCATGTCCACGTGTTCGACTTTCTGTACCGAGCGACGCGGCACGTGTGCTCGACCAACGCTCTCGAGTTTGCCCAGCGCCGAGGCCACACGGAGCTGCTCGCGTATTTAGCCGCCCACCACATCGAGGCGCGCGACCAGTAGTAGGAGGCTCCTGATCGCAAAGGAATCTTTTGTCTCTCGAATCTACGCCCATGCGACATGGTTGCCCAATCGACCTGTTCAACAGGCTCGTGTACAAGAGAATAGAGCCGATTGCACGCTCAACGAATGGCGCGAGCCGTGCGTGTTGGGCGCGTAGCGTGGCGTTCTCAAGGCAAGGGTCTATACGAGATGCATCTCTTATATACCCTTGCTCAAGGTAATGTACGCGCGTCGTCGCTCAACGCGTTCGGTCAACAGCGAATCGGACTCTCGTAACCAGCTTTTCGTCTGGACCTGCGAGCCATGATGCGACGCATCTGAGACTGCAGTTGGCCTTGGCGACATTGCCTTTTCAGGCAAGCTATGTAGATCGCGAACCTGGGATGCGCGAACTTGCACGCGTTATCTGAACTTATACAACCAGCGACGTCTGTGCACGAGTACGAGGGCCGCCATGGCCGCCATTCCGCATGAAGCAAAGGTGAATATCATAGCGTCGTTTACTGCTCACAGGGACAGCTCGACGCCTACTTCAGCGCATGGACTGTCGCCCATGGTTTTGAAACTTCAACAAGAAGCCAACGCAGAGAAGGTCATGCAGCACGGTGCGAGCGAGCCGCGCGACGGGGCACGTCGTTCTTGTGGTGCGCGCTGCGTCGTGGGCGCTGCGTCTCGAACAACAGCCGAAAGGACGCCCTGCGAAGAACCCCGTGGCTGAGTGTTGGTGCATCGGACAGATTCGAATGAATTTTAGCCAATGAGGGCGCGTCGACCGTTGCCATTGCGCCGGGTGCCCATATCCTTTTTCCAACTTCAAGGGACGAGCATGGCGACGACAATGTCTGGGAACAACCAGGTCGAGGAGCAAGAGAACAACGGCGTGCGCACGCTGCGCATCGCGTTCGTCGGCAACGTCGACAGCGGCAAGTCCAGCCTTATCGGTGCGGTCTTGCGGCCTCGAACCGGTGGCGAATGCACTGTCTAGGCACGCTCATCCGCGGCGAACTCGACGATGGCCGTGGCCTCTCGCGCCAGGCCATCTTTCGCCACAAGCACGAGGTCGAGTCGGGACGCACGAGCTCGATCGCAACGGCCTACATGGGCTTTGACGCGCGTGGCGACCAGGTGGTGGCGAAGCGGTCGGGCCGCGTCCTGCCGTGGTCTGAGCTCGCCAAGTACTCGCACAAGAAGATTCAGCTCATCGACTTGGCGGGTGCGTCTCTCAATCGTGTGCATACGAGCGTCAAATGATGGCAATCATAGGCCACGAACGCTACTTGAAGACGACCGTGTATGGCCTCACGGGCATGCAGCCCGACCTTGTGGTCGTCGTCGTCGGCGCCAACATGGGCGTCAAGAAGATGACGCTCGAGCACCTCGGCATCACCATCTCGGTAGACGACGACGGTATTGCGGTGTATTATGCTGATGTAGCTCGAGATCCCGCTCGTGATTGCGTTGACCAAGATCGACATTGCGCCCAAGAACGTGGCGCGCGAGACGCTGCAGACGATCCGAAAGAGCCTGCGCCAATGTACGCTACTATGAACGAACCGTGAAACTCATACCTTGCGCAGACGGCAAGATGGGGATGCTCGTCAAGACGCTGGACGAGGCGACGAACGCAGCAAAGGGCGTGCCGTCCAACCGCCTCACACCGATCCTGCCCATGTCCAACGTCACGGGCGACGGTACTGCGTGTTCATGCTCGTATCTCTCAAGCCGCGCATTGCAGGCTTGGCCAACCTACGCCAGCTCCTCTGGGACATTGACGTCGAGGCATTAGCCCGCTCGGCGCTTTCGTTTACGATACCAGCAGCGGGCGACGACGTGGACAACGCCAAGCTCGCTGCGCAGCCCGTCGAGATGCCGATCGACGACTCGTACCAAGTCCCGGGCGCCGGGTTTGTCATTGCCGGCACGATGGTCTCGGGCGTCGTCAAGCCCAACGACGTGCTCAAGATGGGCCCCGACCACAACGGCCACTTTATCAAGGTTGATTCCGCGGCAGAATATTTGGCAAATAATTGGACAGGTTGTCGTGCGCTCGATCGAGTCGATGTACGTACCACTGAAGGAGGTGCGCGCCGGTCAAACCACCGCCATGGCCGTGCGCTGCGTCAACAAGAAGATCGTCCTCAACCGCGCGACGTTCCGGAAGGGCATGGTGCTCGTGTCGGGCAACTGGGACATGACCCCGTACATTTCGCGCCGGTACGAGTTTGGTGTCGAATTTTTCTCAAGTTCAAACTGGTGCCAACTAGCTTTGAAGCGCAGACGATCATCTTGCACCACCAGACGACGATCACGGTCGGGTACCAGCCAATGATCAACTGCCGCACGATCCGCCAGACGGCGGCCATCACAGGCATCTCGACCGACGACGTGAGGTCGGTGATATCAACTCGATAGATTGATGTACTAGCAAAAATGTCTAGTCCGCCGTCCAACCAGGACGAGCAAGTGACGATCCGGACAGGCGACCGCGCGAGAATTTCATTTTGCTTTGTGACGCACCCGGAGTTCCTCAAGGTCGGGATGCGCTTCGTCTTCCGCGACGGCCAAGCCAAGGGCATCGGTCAAGTGACGCGCATTTTACCCGACGAAAAGTGCAACACGTCGGACCTCTAGACGACGACTACGATAGAAGCTGCTGTGCATGGATGTCTAGACAAAATCCCAAGACAATGTACATATTGTCTGTCAAAGAATCTAGAGCACGGTGCGGTGTTCGAGCGTGTCGAGCAGCGCTTCTTCCTCGTCCGTGTACATGCCCGCGAGCGGCGACGCGCGACCGAGTTCAAGGACGAGTTCGTTGATGACGCAAAGGCTCGTCTGCACGTCGAGGGTCAGCGTCTCGCCGAGCTCCGTCTGCAGTCGCTCCATCATGGGTGGCATGCACGTTCGAATCTGGAGACTCGAGAGGCGACCAAAAATATCTAAGTCGTTGCTTCAGTGTCGTGGAAGGGAAGACAATATGTACAGTCGCGGATCTCTTTTTGTGTCGACGGTCCTTGGGTTTGTATCTAGCATGTTGTGTGATACTATGTTTGACGGTACAATACCTTGGTGCGCAAGAAGGCCTCTATCGCTTCCAAGCGCTCTTCTTCCGTGAGGAGTACGCTCTACAGAAACGCTGAAATGACCGTCCTTCCTCGTCGCAGGGATGTACGTCGACGGCCTGGATCGTCTAGTCGCTGTGTTGGATGATACTGTCATCGGTCGTCATCGGGTACCTCTGCTGGCGACGCTTTGGCAGCACTGCTCTTGCGCCGGTTGTCGCTCTGCGTACAGAAGTGCATGAGATACCACCGACCATTCGTTTGCAAACTACGAGAGGTTTGATTTCGAGAGGTGCCCGAGCTGCGTCCGCCGCCGTGATGGATCGCTTTCGTTGGGACGTTGTTGAAGGAATCTCGGACGTGTCTTTGGCCGCTGGCACAGCGGTCGGCGTTGTTGCCGCGGCGCGCGCGGTCGGCGCGGACGATGGTCGACTGCCCGGTGCGGCTTCGGTGGTTTGTGCAATCGGTAGCACCGGTACGGCCTCAGGCTCCTACAGTCTCAATGACTGGGACGAAAGAACGCAGCGTGGCGCTTACGGTCGAGCTCTCGGACACCTCCTACGCAAAGTAAAATGAAATCAGCAACGACAGAAACGTCGTCCTACGTTGGGCTGCATGGGAATGACATCGACGACAGGCTATGGTGAAGGGCGGCTCAGATGTGAGGGGCTCCCTTCTGCGCACGTACCAACTTGGGCGCTTCGTTCACGGGAGCAATGGCTTCGGCGTTGTTGGCGCTCTCAGCGACAACTACCACCTGCTCCTTGGAGTCACTGTGCTCGGGCTCCTGAAAATCAAGTGGCGTTGGTCAAGGCAAGGAGGTAGTCGCATCCACGCACCGGCTCGATGGCCGCTTGTAGCTCCGACGACGTGACGCTGCTGCTCATCGAGTCGGATCGAGGAAATTTGGGTTTCGGGATAACCGAAATAACTTTTGTGCATACGTTGTCGGTTGAACCCGCGATGGAGCTTCTCGCTTCGCGTAATTTGAGATTTCTCCGAGTGCGTTGTTTGGGATTCTGATATTGTCGAGTGCGTCTCCCCTTCCACTGTTTTGGGCGAGGACCCTTCATGACGTGGCAGTCTCGAGTGAAAGAACGTCGCCTTTTGCTCATCCTGCGTTTTGTAGCTCAACTTATTCCTGCCTGCGAAGATTGGGCTCCAGCGCTTCAAGAACGGAGCTACAATTGTAGCCCATCGATTTGGGCAAGCTGCTCCAGAAGATGCCACGATGATACTTCCATCTCGCGACTCACTACTACACTCTCGTAGCTCTTGGAACTAGTAGTGTCGATGATACCAAGGGCATAAATACCGCGTAATGTATTTCCCTTGAGATAACCTTACCAAAAGTTTATCAAGGGCTCTCGGGGCATTATATTAGAGGGCTCTCGGGGCATTATATTAGAGAGCAATCGCGCAACGACTACCCGCACTTGCTCCCGTCGAGTACAAACTTTGGTGTTGGAGCTCCATTGACAGTACTTAGCATTGCAAGAATGTGTTATGTAGTCGGCACTGCACTCGACTCGTTAACGGCGCCCGCGCTTCTCATCGTAAGCAAACCCACGGTCCAGAGGTCCCAACCACTTTCCGCCACAGAGTGTTGGTCTGAAACGCAATGTGTGCGGAGTGTTTGCGGCTGGTACGCCAAAGGTTCGTTTCCGCGAGCCAGGAGCTATCAGCAAGAATCTTACATTGACGTGGCGCGCTTGAGGCCCTCGAGGTGGATGCATTCGTCGCGTCAATAGTGTAAGACCAACGAGTGTTCCGCTATCCCTCGGAGTAGGGTTGACAGATGAATACCAAGAGGACCCAAGTAGTGTGTTCATTCGAAGGGGCGAGTCACGTGCTGAGAAAACGATGCATACATACTACATGCGCATGGCCTTGAGTTCCTTGTAGAGCGCAACAAGGTCTTCGGGGCCGACGTCCGACTCGTGGCCCATCGACGCCTGGCTCGGGAGCCGCCCAGAGCCCCGGAGCACGTCCTGCGTCATGACCTGCATGCGCTCGCGCAGCTCTGTGACCCGGACCTTTTTGTTTTCATCGTCCGCGTCGCCTTCCAGGACAAAGTCGAGGTCGGCGCTGCCCCGGCTGTGCACCGGCGTTTTCTCCGAGTCGGTGTGGTTCGAGTTGAAGGAGGCAAAGAGCGTCGACGGCTTCGAGTCACGCCAGCTCGTCGCGGGCTTGGACGTCGGGTCAAACACAACCGGCGTCTTCTTCATCTCGGACGACCGGATGCCCACGAGCTTGTTGTCGCAAAACTGGAACGTCTGGCCCGACTCGCGCCCGGAAATGCGCCCCGACTCGCGGCTCGACGTCCGCGACGTGCGGCCGGTCACCGAGGATCGCCGGTGTTCGTCCAGCTGCCGCGCGCTCGTGACCAGCTGCTCGATCACTTGCTGCGTTGTCTGCGCCTGGTACAGCGGCTGCTTGAGCTCGTACCCAAACGAGATGCTCGAGTTGTAGGGGATCGAGCCGCGGCGGGTCGCGCGCGCCGCGTCGACGTCGACCGCGCGGTAGTTGAAGAGCGGCGTCGAGTCGCGGTACGAGCCCATGTGCGAGACCGAGTCCATACTCGAGACGAACGACTGTGAGAGCGAGTCGGCGGCGCTGATCATGCTCAGACGCTCGTTGTTGGCCGCAAACTCGCGCGGCGCGAGGTGCTCGAGCGCCGGGTTCCACTCGTCGTCGGCTTCAAGTGCGTCGTCGTCGTCGTCGTCGTACACGCCCGTGTACTCGTAGTGCGTCTGGTGTACCTCAAGGCTCTTGCTGCGGCGGTAGTTGTCGTCTGTAAGCGACAAACGGTCGTCCTCGTCGTCGTCGCGATCTTCGTTGTGCGTCGACGGAATGTTGTAGAGGAGCGTCGATGGTCGCGCCGGGTACTCGTACGACGTCGTGGCCTTTGAGCGCGCCGACTGAAGCATGTCTACTGCGCTCATTGAGACACACGAAGATGACGAAGGCGACGTGTACCATCCGAGAGGAGGTCGTCCGACTCGCGCATCGTGCCGCCGTGGGCAGGCACGCCGCCGTAGATGTTGAGCGCCTGCATCGTGTCCATGCTCGTGTTCATCGTCGTCGTCGCCGCCATCGTGAGCGACCGGACGCGCGTCTCGCGCGAGCACGGCACGCAGATGCGCACGTTGCGCCGGGCGCGGGGCGGCAGCTGCTTGTAGTTGTGCACAGTGTGGCGGACGGCAATGTCAACGGTCCAGACGTTCTGGCACGCCATGCAGACGACCTCGCCGCACTTGCGACACCGCACCTACCCCCCATTTAGGAATCTAGTAAAAGGACTAGGTAGACCTTGTGGCGCGTAAAGACGCCAAATTTCTTGTTGCAGACGTTGCAGAAGACGCGCTCGGCCTTGGGGATCAGGTCCAAGTCGCCGAGGATCGGCTCGTGGCTCAGTCGGCGCTCGTGCAGGAACCGGTTCAAGTGCAGCACCTCGGCCAGCCGCCGGCGAATCGCGACGCGCGACATGAGGCGCGGAAGCGAGCCTTTGAAGTCGATCATGGACATCTGGATGACGTTGAGGAGCCCCGTGGTCTCGCTCTCGAGGAAGACCATGCCCGAGCGCTCGGTCGTTGCTCGCACGAGGTGCATGCCGCTTAAGGGTGGGCAGATGGGCAGCGAGACCGACTCGCGTGCGAGGACCCAGCCGCGGCGACCGCTCACGTCCACAAACTCGTCTTGGCACTAGTCGTCCCTGAGCAACATCATCGTATGCTGAGAGCGTACCTCGACGTAGCAGAGGTCGCGGTGCTTGGCGACCGACCACGGCGACTTGGTCGCGGTCCAGCGCACGGTGATGTTGTGCCACGGGTTCTCGGGCGTCGGTGGCGTGAGTGTGTGCAGCACAAACGTGTCGAGGAAGTCTTCTTCGTACGAAGCAGCCATGCTGCGCGCCTCGGCGGTCGTCGAGCGCTGGTAGAAGGCGGCGACCTCCTCGATCGTGCCCGCGACCTGCGTGACGCACGAGCCCATGATGATGTTGTTCTTGTGGTTGTTGATCCACGTGTCGCGCTTCGACCGCCCCTCGTACATCATCGAGTGAATCTCGGCCGCCGCTGGGAGGCCATCCGTGATGATGTGGCTCGCCGACCCGCTGTCCGGGCGCCCGATCGGGTGCCACTGGACCGTGTCGCCGTTCATGCGCGCATTCTTGATGAGCTCCTTGCACGCCGTGCGCGCAATGTGCGTGAGGTACCGCTTCTCCTCGACGGGCAGCGTCGGCGAGAGGAAGAACTCGTCCGGCACCGGGAACTTGCTCGATACCATCGACTTGGGTTGTACGACGCAAGCGGCTGGCAGTGGCGCTAGCAATGGTCATGTGTAATGGACTGGGCCAGACGGCTGGAATTCCCGTAGATGAGTACACGGTACCGCGCCTCGCCGTGACACGCCGTGTCGAAACTTACTGATTAAGCGATTCAATCCTCTTCCGCAACGTGCCATGCGTTGCAAGAAGGGCATTGCCCGTGCACATCGTCGCTTTCCGTCGGGCAAGTCCTTGCTTGCGAGCGGTATCCATCCTATTCGGCCGTGCCAACGTACGTAGTAGCAAGGCGGCGTGAGGCACACCACGCGCGCGTCGCTGTGCGTGGCAGTGCAGAGAGCACACACCGTCTTTGCTAATGCCGTGTGCTCACTCTGTGCACTGGTGTGGGACATGCTTGTATATCGCCAGTGAGCCAGCTGCGGACCCGTCATGAGAGGCGTTCCGACCAAGCCGACAAGTTTAGTCCTCGCGACCATCCCACCACGGGCTACTCGTGTTCACATGCACCACAATATTAGTATCCTCCGTTGCCAACTACGGCGCGTGGTCGAGGTCGGGTCAATGAAGCGGCCAAAGACTCGATGTCGCTACATCTGCACCCTGCGTGGGTGCACCTTCGATGTACGCTGCGTCCACTTCGAACGTTCTGCACCGAGGTGGCGGCGATGATGGCCGACGACGCATACCTAGAGATCCAGCTCGGCTCGGCCCGGCGCGGTCATTTGCATGCATGACGTGGCAGCGCGTCGTGGCTGCAATGTCAACGGGGGCAGAGGTGGTCGCTGTGCAACGCGCGCCGCGGGCTCGCGAACCGCTCTCGTTTCTTGAGCTGCCGCGTGGCGGCGCGCTGCGTTCACAAACAGTGCGATCACAATCACTGGTTGGTCTCGTCGTGCACGCACGCCATTGGTGAAATTTACTGATCGCACGACGGGAATGCTTCAAAAAGAAAGGACATGCAGCATCTGGACGGACAAGGATGGTCACTCGTTCAGAGCACGACGACGCCATCGGGGTCCTGATGATCTGCTGCCTCTCGTCGTGGTCGCGGCCACCCTGCTTACCTTGTGAGTCACGTGGCAACGTATACAAAACACAAGTCAAACCGCTGCAAGAGTTGAACGGGTTGGCGCCATCTAATTTGCTGCAATCCTGATGCGTACTCTTCAGCACTCTCTTCTCTCGTATACAAAAAATGAGATCGGAGTCCAAGTTCACTCTCTACAAGCGCGGCAGATGGATCGCACGCTCTCTTTAGCCAGGTGCATCAGCTGACAATTGACACAAAGCGACTTGCAGCATGACGACGTTTCCGCTGCCCGCGACCTTCTTCCGCTGCCCCGAGCTCTCGGTCGACGAGCGCGAGTACATGGTCAACCTCGCGCAAAAGTCGCTCGTCGAGCTCGTGCGCCACTCGAACCTCGAGGGCGGCCCGATCCGGTGGAGCCTCGACAGCGACGACGCCGGCTTGCAGCTGTACACGGGGTCGGACCCGTCGGCGGTCGGGTCGGAGATGACGTTCCTTTGCTCGACGACCGAGATCATGGCGTCGCTCGACGAGGTTGCAGCGCTCTTCCGCTCCGACACGACCGAGACCTTTCGCGAGTACACGCGCAACTTTGGCAAGGACCTCCTCGACGCGCAGTCGCTCTACACGCTGGCGCGGCCGACGGCCGAGAACCCGCGCCACTTTATCGGCGTCAAGTGGATGGTGCTCGAGGTGCCCAACGGCTTGGCCAAGCACCGCGACATGTGCTACCTCGAGTGCCAAGACGACTTTGAGATGAACGGCAAGCGCGGCTGGGCGCGGTCGCTGAATTCGATCAAGCTGCCGTGCTGCCCGGATCTGCAAAACAGCCTCAACCTCGTGCGCGCGTCCATCTACCGCACGGGCTTTGTCTTCCTCGAGACGAACCGGCCGGGGTACCTCAAGGCCATGCACGCGGTGCAGATCGACCTCAAGGGCAACATTCCAAAGTTCATCGTCAAGATGGGCGCCAAGCGCCGCGCGCGGAGCATCGCCGACATTGACCAGTTTCTGCGCGAGCGGCGGCTTAGCGGCGAGGTCTTCCTCGAGAAGCAGCAGCTCATTCCGCGCTCGATGCGCAGCAAGTGCTTTCTCTGCAGCAAAAAGTTTGGGCCATTCTCCAAGAAGAAGAACTGCCGCAAGTGTGGCGAGGTACGGCGATGCAAAGCATTGCGGCCTCAGCGCGCGTTTAGGTTGTCTGCAGCAGCTGCAGCAAGTACTGGGACATCAACGTGAACGGCCTCGGCCGATCCATGATCCGCGTCTGCTCGGCGTGCTCGGTGGGGACGTTTCACAAGGGCCTGCCACGGCTGCAGTCGGCCTTCACCGACAACGCCAGCGAACAAGACTCGAGTATGGCGCCTGTCCCACGCAACTTCTATCCTCACCGCATCGTTGTCTGTAGCCGATTACAACGAGGAAGGCAAGCGCGTGCTGAGCCGACACAGCCACCACACGCCCCGGATGGCGCGGGGCCTTCAGCGCCCCCCGCAGGACGTAAACGTGAGCTTGAGCTCCAAGCAGGCGCCGTTCAGTCGACGCGAGCCGGAGGCCGAGCCGCCGGTCATCGCTGCCAACCGACATATGCTGCCCGCGGCCCGGTCCATCAAGACGGACTTGGCCACTGAGCCGTCGAGTGCGCCGCAGCCGTCTCGCGCATCGCGCTACACAGTCGAGAGCAGCCAGAGCAACAACGAATACGTCGGCCGTCACGAGGAGTGGCAGGCGTCGGACCACGGCAGCAACGACGGCGGCGCGCGCTACGGCTACGACAGCCGACCGATTGCCGAGGCGCGGTACGCACCGGTGCCCGAAGGCCGCGAGCGTGGCGACAACGACCGGTACGAAGAGCGCAGCCAAGAGAGCCGCGAGGTCGACCCGCGCTTTGCCGAACAACCACCGCAGAGCCACGAATTGCGAGTCCAAGGCCACGAGCCACGGTACTTGGACGCTCGCTTTCAGGAGACGCGCAACTTTGATCCGCGGTACAACGACTACGACCCGCGGTACCCGCCAAACCACCACCATGACCCGAGATTTCCGGAGGCTCGCTACCCCGAGCCTCGGTACCAGGAGCCACGGTACTATGGTCAGCAGCCAGCGCGCTACTATGACGACGACCGCTACTACGACCGAGACCCACGCTACATGGACCCTCGCTATTTGGACCCCCGTTACAACGACCGGCGCTACGTCCACCCTCGCCACGACGACCGCGACGCGCGTGGACCGCCACGGCTACTTGAGCATCCGGACATGGCACCACCAAGTAGTGATGGACCGACGCAGGAAACCGTCGACCTGCGCGCACCGCCAACGAGCGGCCGCCACATGTCGGCGACGTCTGACGACGAGGCCCAGTACCGCCCGTACGCACCCCTCAACGCGCAAAACCTCGCCGCGTTCACCGCCAACGGTGCCACGGATCCGTCGCGTCGGCACGACGACCGGTTCACCGACGCTCGGCGCCCAATTATCCAGGAGGAAGAGCTCCGCATGAACACCCAGCGCCGCGACGACTACAACCGCCGCTGGTACGACGACGAGCTCGTGGGGCGCTACGAAGACCGCCCCGACGCTCGGTACCAAGAACAGTCGCGGTACGTGGAACCGTCTCGGTACATGGACCCTCGTGACCAGGTGCGGTTCCGCGACCAGCCGCGCTACCCGGACGAGCCACGCTACCTGGACGAACCGCGCTACCCGGACGAACCGCGCTACGACGACCAGCCTCACCAACCGCGGTACAACAGCACCCAGCCGCGGTACAACAGCACCCAGCCGCGGTACCCCGAGGAGCCTCTGTACAGCAACGACCCGCGTCGCCTTGCGGATCGCGAGCCCAAGGCGGCTCCGACGAGCGAGCTTTCGATGCTCGCGCAGCAGATGGCGTCGCTCGGTGTGCAAATGGACCCTGCGGCCATGACGCCGGCGCAGCTCAAGGCCCTGTACAACCAGCTCCAAAAGCTCAACCTGGACGACCCGAAGCCCTAGTTTGTTGTTTGCACGAAGAATGAATTTGGGTAGTGTCGATGCTAGTGGTGGACGGGTGGACCGTGGCGTCCAGGGCCCGAGAGCGGGAGGTACTTGGTGACGTACGTCACCGCGACGGCGCCAACACAGAGAATCGTCGACGTCGTGCCGAGCAGAAGCGCGAGGTTGGGTGGCGGCGCCATGAGAAACCCGTTGACAAACTGGGCCGTGATGGCACCGACGCGGCCGACGCAGCTCACGAGCGACATGCCCGTGACGCGCACGGGCAGCGGAAAGGCGTGCGCCGAGAGTACGCCAAACTAGTAGCTGACAGAGTTATGGACCAAGACAGGGAGATCGAAGGTAGTACAGCATTCCACGACGACGTCATGCACGCGTTAAAGAGGCAGGCGCAAAACACCACGTAGCCAGGCGCGTGGGACGTGTCGAGAGCAAAGAGCAGCGCCGCCGCCGCCGAGAGCAGGAGGGAGAGCGCGAGCAGTCGCCCGCTGCCCCAGGAATCGACCATGGCAAAGCTACGGCAGAGTCAGCTTCTTTCGCTTGCGAAAACGACCTGAAGAGGTTGCCCGGAAGGTTGGCGCCAGCGTACAAGAACGCGTTGGCGTACGGGTTGGCGAGCCCAATCGACTTGAAGAGCGACGTGATCCACGTCGAGATACCATACGAGCCTACACCACCGTCAACATCCACGTATAGAGCCATGGCGGACCGAAGCTCATGGCGAACGCGACGACAAAGAGGAGGAGCGAGATGCGCCGGAGCGAGTACGTGGCCCAGAGCGCGCTGAAGCGCTGTGCGACGCTGCTGCCGCTCGACTCGGCCTGAAACTTGATGTGGTCGAGCGGTTCGAGGCGCGGCCGGCGCGACTCGCCGTGGAGGGCGAGGATGCTGTGGAGAACGCGCGTGGCCTCGTCGTGCTTGCCCTTGGAGATCAAGAAGCGCGGGCTCTCGGGCACAAACCAGTATGTAAGCACGAACGAGAGGGCCGCGGGGAGGCCCGCGAACGCTGCAAAGTGGCGCCACGTGGTCGGCAGGATCTTGTCGCCGTCCAGCGTCTTGCCGAGCATCGTCCACGCCGCGCCGGCCGTCACGATCGAGCCCTACGCAGAGCCATAAGTTGGCGACTCCAGACAACGCTGGCGTACAAGCATCCAAAAGCAGCAGAGCACTGTAATGTACCGGCCTTGCGCAGCCGGCGGGAGGTGCTCGATGCACAGCGCAAAGAGGCACGAGACAATGCCACCCACGCCTACGCACAGCAACGTTGCACGAGACAAATGGCTCGCAGAAGCGCACCGATGCCGGCAAATGTCCGACAGACGATAAGCCACGATATCGTGGGCGCGAGGGCCGAGCCAAACCCGGCGATGGCGTTGATCGCGAGGTTGGCGAGCACGACGGGTCGCCGACCGTACGCATCGCCCAGGACGCCGCCGATGAAGCCGCCGACGAGCATCCCTGCAAACACGGCCGCCGTCAAGCAGCCTATGGCAGACAGGTGTGAGGATTGATACGTCAGACGACGCTGTACTGGACTCCCATGGCGTGATCGGGCTGTCGTACACGGCCAAGATATACCCGATCGCGAGGATCTCGACCGCGTCAGCCGCGTTGCCAAGCCCGAGGATCCTAAAACGACGTCGCGTGAGCTATCGCCAAGTATACGTGTAGCGCCGTACACGACCATGCGCTTGTGGAAGTAGCCGCAGCCGATCGCTTCCACTTCCTACAAGCCACGGCGTCAGGCGAGCGTCGTCGCTGGGAATGACCTACCTCGTTGACGTCGACGGTCTCGTCGTTGACGCTCTTGGTGATGAGCGTCGCCTGGTCGCTTTCGCTCTCGTCGGCGCTGGCCATCTCCACGGTCGTCGCACTTCCGCTCGTCGTCGTCGTCGTCATGAGCAGCGGGGCCAAGAGTTGTCGCAGGCGTCGTCCGTCCTTCGGCGCCGGATCCAAGCTCATCGCACCAGCTGGCATTCGATAGAATCCTTTGCAACTCGATATTGCCGAGCTGGTATTTATTGTTACAGGTTTGTCCGCGCAGCGCGCCACGTCATTGCTCTTGCAAAAACGCGCCTGTATCAACCGTCGTGAGCAAGAGCCCGGCCGCGGACCGGCAGCCATGGTCCGGGTCCCACTGGCGCAGCTGATCGAGGTACGGGACGAGCGACGTCTGGAGGCCGAGGCGCGCGACCTGTTCGCTCCACGCAAACCCGGGCAGCACGAGGAGGACGCGGCTGAGCCCAAAGAGCACCTACAATGCTCACAGCTACATAGTCGGAGTCGTAGCAGGAGTACCTGACGACGGACGCTAGGTAGCTCGTGCGTTCGCTGGGACCAAATGAGCTCGAGAAACGCAGTTGCCATCGCAATCGTGCGGGGTCCGTGCTGCCCCGACGTTTCGAGCACCGCGGCCAGCGTCTGGAACACGTGGGCCATCAAGACGTGGTCGAGCGAGTGCATGCTGCTCGCCGCGTTCGCAAGCTGCGTCTGGAGCGGCAGGAGCAGAGGGTAGAAGAAGAGACTGAGCGTGTTGGCTTTGTCGACTCTAACGTTGGGGGCCGCTAGCGCGAGCGTCGAGAGGATGTCGAGCTTGACTTGAAAAAGCTTCTCAGAGTCAAACACCTGCGCCGCCAACGTCGGCAGTGCCTGCGCCGGCGCCTCGAGCACGAGCCCCCGCAGCGACGCTTTGCGCAGCGCATCAAAGTGCGGTCTGCATACCATCTATGAGCCCCATGACGCAACAACAGCAAACGTACGTTTGGAACGTGTCGTCGAGACGCGTCACGGCCCGGCAGAGCGTCACGGCCAAGTCGTGGAGGTCGTACGGCCGGCGGTGAATGAGTGCCGGCAGCGAACGCAGCGCGAGTTCGGCGCGGTCGCGGTCGCCGTCTTGTTGCAAACCCTCCAGAACATCCAGCAAATACACCATCGGCGGCGTCTGCAAAGTCATCAGCACACGTTCGACCGTGAGTCGACGTACCGCGTCGACGGCTTCGTCCTCGTCGTCGCTGAGCTCGTACGGCTCGAGACTGATGTCCGACGCCGCGTCGTTCACGTCTCCTTCCGTACTCTCAGCTGCGTCGTCGTCATCGCTGTCAACGATGGCATCAGGGTCGACGCGAGATGGTTTTTTAAGCGCCGAGGCGACCAAAGGTTCGAGCGGCGTCGTTGTCGCGGGTGCTGTGCCGTGACGCGGCAAGTCTTCGTCTTCGAACGTCAGCGGCGTCTCGGGCGTGAGGACCTTGGAGAGAGCGATCGCTACGACCATGCCCCACTGTCGTGTCCCTTGCAGGGAGTGCCCCATGCGCTCCTACCCAAATGCAATTGGTCGTAGGTCGCAAACGCTCAGAGTGTACGTACTCGGATGCCCATACTCAGCGGCCCAATCCAGCGCCGGGTCTCCACGACGGCGCGAGCGTCGACATACCGCGTCGAGAGGTGGTCGAGACCGAGCTCAATGAACATGGCGGCGCTGCCGTCGACGTCCGCGTCCGTCGCGCAGCCGAACGCCCATGCCTGGATGAGCTTGTCAAGCACTTGCACAAGAGGCGACTGCGCCTAAGATGCAGTCAACACCCGTCGTACCATGCAAAGGCAAAGGAACCGCGTCATCGTAGTGGATGGCGGGGGTCGTTGGTCCAGAGAGCACGCGAACCGCCGCGTCGATCGCCGCAAAGGGCAGCGCTGTCTTGGCGTGCAGCAGTAGCTTGTGGCTCAACACGTGCTGGAAGACGCTCTGCTCGACGATGCTCGTTGGCAGCAGGGTGGCCCAGTCCACCGGCATCGATGTGTCTGCAGTCGCCATTGCTCTCTGAACTAGCGACGTGATTCGATATCGTACCGTTCGTAGCGAATTTCACAGTCTCGGAGAAGAGGCCTTCGTAAGCAGACGGCGGAAGCATCTGTATGCACATGAGCTGAGCTGCGAGGTCATCAAAGTCGTGTGTACATTGAGCCAGATGTAGTGCTCGCTGGGCGACGTGCAGTTGGCGAGCCAGACTACAGAAGGGCTGAGAAACCAAGGGGTACGAGGGGACGCACCCGACGCAACGCATTTGGCGTGGCCAAGACGCACGAGCTTGGGCACGAGGAGGGCGCCGAGGTGGCCACTCGAGACGGCGCCTCGGTGACGCACAAAGGCCAACACGAGTCGCGGAAAGAACGTCGACGGCAAAAAGCCACGCTGCGTCTGCGGCCAATCGAGGTTGCACACGATTGCTGCGGGATATTTGTCTCGTGAGGCGCCAACTGCAGTGTGGACGTACCAGGCAGCGCGCAGAGCTTTGCAACGAGGGACTCGTCGGCGACGCTCGTGGCCTACGTACCCTTCGAGTTGCTGCGAAGAGAGATTGTCCAGTGTACCTTGGGCGTCATCATCATCATCTCGGACTGCAAGCGATAGAGACCGTCGTCGTCGAGGAAGCGTTGCAGGAGACGCAGCGCCATGTCGTGCGACTGCGCTTGTAGCTGGCGTCGGCTCACAATGTCGTACAGCGCGAGAAAAAGGCTCTGCACGTGGCGCCATGTCTCGGCAGTGGCCACCGACAAGAGCGAATCCACTGCGGGCACGATCGCGAGGGCTGCAGCGTCCGCCACCGTCGTCGTGACCCATGCCGGGACCACGGCCTCGAGGACATGCGTCGCCATCGCCTTGTAGTTGTCTGCGAGAAGGTCGTTGTCCTCGACGAGCAGGCGCACGGCCTCGTCAATGTCGTAAGCCGCTTCGGCAGCCCGCAGCCCATCGGCCCAGCCCTCGAGCGTCCGCGTGCTCATCGTAGCTGTATCCGGAATCACCGGATACGCGTATCCTGCCACAATTACGGGTAACGGTGCCACTTTTAAGCACTTTAGAAATATCTTTGTGAGCGTCGAGATGGTGGCGCAACTGACGTGGGCCCGCGAGATGTACGCGCGCGTCGTGCACATGTCGGTGCACAATTTGCTCGTCTTCCCGAGCGAGATGGCAGTCGTCGCGGGCGAGAGCCCCAAGGCGCCGCTCGCCATCAAGTACATGTGCTGGCGCAAGAGCGTGATCCAAGTACGACGCCCGTTCGCTTGCTGCCAATTCGTTTCCAATGTAGGCCAGTGTATGGCTCCTACTGGCGGCGCTTGGGGCCAAAACGGTGCTGGCCGCGCAGTCGACGACGTTCGCTGCGTTCCTTGGCGACATGCGCAGTTACGTGACGCTTCTGCCCGACGTCATCTTGCCAAGTTTCCAAGTACAGTCCGCGCCTCTCTCGTGTTCTGAAGGACTGTAGAAACTGCACGTCTTGTACGTCGTCCAGGCCTTCTCGACGGTCGGCACCATGCTTCTCACGGGCCTCTGTGCTGCCTACGCGCTGCACCACTGGACGACGTACCACAGGTCGCGGACTGCCCTGCGTCTCGGGTACGGTCTCTCGTTCGTGCTGCCGTACGCAGTTCTGCTCTTCCTTCCGATTCGCTCGTGGTATCAATACATCTCAAAGTCAACTTCGGAGATCCTCTGTAGCATCAACTTCAACGACATTCGCCTCGAAGCATGCGACGCACTCGCCTCGCTGCTTTCCCGCCAAGCAGCGCTACGCCACGTGAACTTCTCGCCGAGCCAGGTCTGCAACGAATTTATCAATGCGCCGCAGTGGGTGCGTCGCGACTCGTTTGAGTTTACGACGACGAGAAGCAAGCGTAGGGCGACCAGCTCCTGCGCTCGCTCGAGACCATGGGCGTCCTCAAGAACAACACGACGCGTGTCTGCCTCAACGTCTACGCCGTCGCCAACGCGAGTGCTCACCAGACGGCGCATGCAGCGTGCAGCGAACCTGCCTGCGCCGCCTGCCTTGCCGACACCACGTGCATCAGCATGGGACTTGTCTACATGTACAACCCGTCGGCGTTGGAGACAGCGCACCCCGCGTGCGCTGCGTGCTTTGCGTCGTCGTGCATGCGCGACTGTCTCCACGCGTCCTTGCCGCCGCTCCTCTCGCAAGCGCCAGGTACATCACGATCGCAGCCGTCGTTGTCACGTCGGATGGCTAGAGCTATGCCTTCCGGATGCGGTCGTTGACGCCATCAAGGCCCTCGGCACGTTCCAGTCGAGTAGCGACTATGCAGAGTTCCTCCTCGGCGTCCTTGTCGGTACGCACTAATCGGTTGTGTCAAACTAAGAGCGGCGCAGGGCTCTCGTCGCTGCAGACACTCGTACCCCAGAGCATGTCACTCCTCTTTGGTTGCATCCGTGGCGCCAAGCTCACCAAGACCCTCGTGCCCTACTCGCGCCTGCCCGGCTACGGCATTGGCGCCGCCATCCTTCTTTGCACGCCGATGCTCACGACATTTCTTATCGCGATCCACCAGGCCTTTGGCAACCTCTGGTGCTTCCCACCCGCGCTGGGATGGAGGCTCACGGACGGTAGGAGCGTCGCGACGATTCTCGTCTACCTCGCGAGCATTTTCATCTGGTTTCCTGTCGGCGATCTGTCGCACGGCCTCGTCGCCGACGACAACCGCGGTCTCATGGCGCCGCAAAGCGTCCTCGCTGCCGTGCGTCGCTGCGCTTCTGGGCCACAGGCTGCAGTCTTGTTGTTGAAATAGGTGAACGAACTGGACCGGCGCCACCACATTAGCTTTTGCCTCAAACTCGCGGCGCTCGGACTCCTAGTCGTGTACGCCTCCCAGTCGGACTTGCTGCCGCTGCTCAAGGCGCATGTGAGCTACAGTCTTCTCTTGCGGATTCTGCCCTTTTGCTTGGAGCTTCTCGGTACACGCCGTGTGCAACAACGCTTGAGCCTTCGCATAGGCAAGTCGATGATGTCGGCCGTGGTCTTCGGGGACATGTACATTGATTTTTTTCGCATCACAACGGCCGGCGACCTCCTCGACTCGACCGAGGCAGAAGAAGAAGAAGCTCTTGTCCAGTGCTGATAGTGCAGTAGGCGATTTCGAGTCGGCGCGAGTCGGCGCTGGCGTTTGGGACGCTCAACGCGTCGCCCCGGGGCTCGGGACTCGTGGCGCCACGACGGCCCTCGGTGAGCAACCCGGAGCTCATCCAGCGTATGGTCGCGACACTGCAAGCGACAGACGCCCTTTGCTCCAACAGAAGCTCGCGATCGATCGCACTGCCCGCGTCGTCGTCGTAGCCGAAGAAAGTCGTGTATTCGAATCAAGGGGTTTACATGAACTTGTACTGGATCTTCTTGTGCACTTGGCAGAGAAACTCGACGTACGACACCTCGTTCTTGGTGCGGTCTTCGACGAGCGCGGCCATGAAGCGGCCGCTGCGCCAGTCCTACTCGACAGTGGTAAATGATACGCTTCCGAGCCGTCGTACCGTCTTGGTGAGGATCTCGAGGGGCTGCATGACAGGCACCTGGGCCTGTAGGTACTGCACTATCGCGCGCACTTGGTCTCGCAATGGGCCCGCGTCCGGCGCGTCGTCCACGAGGTTGACCGACTAGACAGTGCTGCTGTTGAAAAATCGCACAAGTGGCGAGGACGCACCTGCTCGGCCGTGTCGACGTGCTCCATGCCAAAGAGGTCGTGCAGAATATGCGACGACACTTTGGCGCCGACAAAGAGGTATAGGAACGTCGACGAGTGCAAGAGGAAGATGCCGTACTCCTCGAGCTTCTCGGCCGTCGGCGGCAACGGCGCCGGGAGGATCATCGCGCCCTTGTCGTCCAGCGTGCCGCACTAGACACAGCCAAATGTTGTTTTCGCATGTTGTATCATATGCGCGTACGTCTTCGGGCATGTCGTGGAGCGGGTACATCTTGGGGTACACGGCCGAGACGGCGGCTTCCACCGGGAGGTTGTTGAGGTGCGAGAGCAACGCGACGCGCTCGTCGGCGCGCACGTCGATAAAGCCACGGTTGCCCATGACGTTGTTGCGCAGCCCGCGGCTCTTGAGCGACGCCAGCGTGTAGAGCGGCAGCAGCTTGAGCGACTCGGGCAAGATGAGCTGTCCCGACGAGCTGTTGGACGCGCAGTACTTGCGGTAGTTGTACAGAACGTTCACGCAGTCGTCAATGAGTCGCTCCTTGACCGCTTGGCCGTTGCCGCTAGACCGTGTGTGAGCCCACAGTACGATATTTAGGATGTGTACCCCATGATGGACCGGTCCGTGACGACCTTGGCCGACATGCGCTGCCAGATCGCGCACGTCGCATCGAGGTCGGCGTTGCGGAAGACGTTGGTGACGAGGTTGGCCACCTAGCACGTTCTTGTGAGCAGAATCTGGTTGACGCCATCAACGTACCGGAAGCGCGAGGTTGTGGACGCGGACGACGCGGACGCCGTCGAGGCGCGTGTAGAGCAGGGCGGCTTGGACGTACACTTCGCCGTCGAGCTTGTCGTCGTACGCAAACGAGACGCCGACCGCGTGGTGCGCGTCCATGCAAGCGACGCTGACTTCGTCGTCGCTCGACGCGGCGTGGCTGCCAAATACCGTCTCGACACGGAGACCGGCCGAGACGCGGATCTTCAAGACGGCCTCAAAGCCCACGTTCTTGGTCAGCTGCTGCGAGAGGAGGTTGCCGAGGTACGCCACGTGCTCCGACTTGTCCTTCTCAAACTGCGGCAGGTAGTAAGCCCGGCCGCCCGTGAGGTCGCACACGCGCGCGACGCTACGAGTCGCGTCAGTTTTCTGAAATAATATTTTGAGAACGCACTCGGCGAGGTCGGCGAACGGGTTGGCCGCGCTGTAAACGTCGACCGCGATGCAGTGCGTGGCGCACTTGCGCGCGAGCTCCTCGTAGTGCGGGTTGAGCTTGACGTTGTGCGTGTACAGCTCGACTTCTTTCGTCGTGCCATAGTGGGACGCCGGCTCTTCCTTGGTGATCTTGCCGACACCGATGCGGGGTGGGCCTGCGTGGAAGACACTCACGCGACCTGCGACACAATGTGAGAACGATGAAAACGCTAGCTCCAAACGTACCACCGCACGCGCTAAGGGTGTCAACGACGCTCGTGAGCGCCGCGCCCGACACGGACTGGTTCTTGGTCGTCGCCGAGAAGAGCGTCGTCACCTAAGTACGTACGTTGCTTGTTGGTCCAAGCCAAGATAACAGCGTACGAGCTCCGAGAGCTCCGTGATCTTGTCGATCGCATTCGGCGCGTTCAGCGCAAGGCACCACGACTGGAACGGAAGCGGCGCCGCGGGGTCGTCAATGTCGGGGCACACGCACATCGAGATCGACCCTTCCTTGTCCATGCGATAGTAATGTACCTAGTCAATCGAATGCTGACGGATGCGATACTCTATCGCAAGTACCGCCGTGTCAAACGTGACGAGACCAAACTTGGCGCGAGGGTTTTGCGCGAGCTCGGGCACGACGCGTTGGATGGCTTCGAGAACGCCCTGGACGAGGCCCGACTGAAACGCAAAGAGGGAGACGTCGAGGACGAAGACCGTGATCGGCTCCTGCGCCGGCCGCACGGCGTAGCCCTGGGGCACAACGTACTCGACCGACCCGCGCGCAAGCTCGGCGCGCTCCGTGACGTCGCGCCGGCGGCCCATTTGGTCGACGCTGCAGTAGTACTCCCGCGGCGTCTCGTTGTGGAGGTTGCAGATGTTGCACACAAACTTGCGCCCGGCCTGGACAAACTTTGTGAACGGGTTGACGTACGCCCGGCAGCGTGTGCAGCGGAGCGGACCCGTGGGGCCAAAGTCGACAAGCGGGGGCGTCGACTCGCCCGGCTGAAGCGGCGCGAGCGGGCAAATGACAGCGCTTAGCGGAATGCCCACCTGTCGCTGCAGTTCCGACGACTCGGGCACGTGGTTGAGCGTCGGTCGAATGAAGCGCGGGTTGCAGCAGCCCTCGTCAATGCACACGAACGACGACGTCGCCGGCGGCGGCATTGTCATCGTGTGACCCTTGGCCACGTACGTAATTGTCTCGGCACTCACGTTCGGGCGCGGAATCTGCGTCGGATCTATGCGTTGCTGCGGCGCCGGCGCCGTGCGAGGCTGCGCAGGCTGGCCAGGTTGCTGTGGAGGAAAACCTGGCTGGCCTTGCTGGTGCGGTGGATAGCCTGGCTGGCCTTGCTGGTGCGGTGGATAGCCTGGCTGGCCTTGCTGGTGCGGTGGATAGCCTGGCTGGCCTGGCTGGTGCGGTGGATAGCCTGGCTGCTGCGGGGGGAAACCTGGCTGGCCTGGCTGCTGCGGCGGGTACCCGGGCGGACCCTGCGAGTAGCCAGGCTGGGGAGGTCCTTGCTGCTGCGGCGGGTATCCTTGGGGAGGCAGTTGACTCGAAGGCATCTGAGGAAGCTGGTGCATTCCTGGAGGACCTTGTGCGTACGGGCCACGAGCCATTGCACCTTGCGTTGGCGGACCTATGGCCACGTCGATACAGACGACGTGATGAGCGCAAGGAAGCCGTACCTTGCGCCTGATGAAACGGAGGTCCGGGAGTAAACTGCGGGACGCCATGCGCTGGCTGCATTGCGGCGCCTGTAAAGCAAGGTTTCGACCGATTCGCCAAGAACGAAAAGCCAACCGTTCGACGACGGCGGACCCCGCGGAGCAAATCCCTGAGGCGCAGCATGCATGGGTGCACCTGGCGGCCCATTGCTCGGAAGTCCGTTCGGGGGCATGCGACCTAGACAAGTCGACATATCCATGATCTTCCTGCGTCTCCAAACCAGAACGTACCCGCAGACGGAGGGCCGTACGAGCCGGGTGCATTACCCGACGGCGGACCAAACGTATTCGGCGCAGTGTTTGGCGGCTGGCCAAACGGCTGACTCGGCGGTCCACGCGGGTTGAAGCCGCCATTGCTCGGCGGGCCAAAGTTGCCACCCGGCGCACCTTGCGAGGGTGGGCCTGAACCTGCAGTGTTACAATGGATCGTGCTTTGTCACTCGCTACCTTGTGCATATGGGCCACGCGGAGCCTCTAAGCATTGCGCATGAGCCATCGAGTGCCACACAAGAAGCCACGTACGTTGAAATGGCGACGATTGCGACGGCGGGCCTACAGATGCTTGAGATATGGTGAGCGCACGCTGCAGGCCTACCTGAGAAGGGCGCGCCTCCGCGCGGGAAGTTGCCACCTACGACGCTTGAGCCTCAGCGAGCGCATCAGCGACGTACCAGGATGGGCCATCACGGTCGTTCACACGCTATGAGGGCAATATATTGACGTTGGCCCCTCACGGCTTGGCTGTCGTGTTCTCATTGGTCAAAATGTGTACCTCCAGAATTGGATTCTATATCATCTTCCACAGGCTTCTCGATTTACCAGAAACACGGTAGAATATCCGGACAGGCGTATCCGGATAGGATCCGATCTTGGCCCTTGACAATCTCGTTTGGCACTTGACCATCTCGCAAATTCAGTCGAGCACGACAACAACGTCATAACGGCAGCGGTCAACGCGGCCGTGGTCCTCGATGAGGTTACTACTGCTGTTGCAATAGGTTATGCCACGCGCTCAGGTTCATCGATGGTTTCGATTGTCGAGAGCCCTTGTGTTCGCACTCCGCAAAGTCTATGGTTTGCTGGTACAAAAATGTGTCACGACAAAAATCAGGTCACTACGACCTCTGGCAACCGGCAGCAAGGTTTGTGCTGAAATTCAGTAGAGATCCACAGCAGGCAACTCATCGAGCCTGACGTGAGTGTCGAGGACCACGACGCGCTTCTCGACCTCGCCCACCACGCGCTCAGCGACCTCATTCTGAGCGCCCGTCTTGACAAAGGTAGCAGCCTCCCGTGGGCGCCGCTGGCGTCGTACCCGTCCCAGACAAAAGTGTACATGGCGAGCGACCCTCTGGTACGCGACGCGTTCTATGCGGGCGAAACAACGCTCGACATGCCGCTCGAGGACGCGATCGCTTTCTTCCAAGTCAACGAGAGTTGCGAGTACCTCGACCACGCGCGCTTGTTGGCGCGCAAGGCGACAGACGCGTGCGTGTTGAGCCCGCTGAGCAGCGGCAGCTGCTACGACCCTTACCACTATGTCGGCTTGCACTGGATGGCGCTGCCACCGTCGTCGAGTCTCTTTCACCACCGCGACATCTGCTACCTTGAAGCCCACGACGCATTCGACATGAGCGGCACCCGTGGCTGGGCGTGCGTCGCCACGTCGGTGCGCATGCCTTGGTTTCCGTGCCTCGAGAAGAGTCACCAGCTGCTTCGCGCGACGATGCGCCGGTCGGGGTACGTGCTCACAGAGCTCAGTGCAAGTACGACCCGCGTCGTGCACGTCATCAACATTGACATGGGCGGCCACATGCCCTCGGTGCTTGTGGGCAAGATGCTCAAGAAGCAGGCTGCGTCAGTGGCGCAGCTCGCGCACCGCATCCGGACACGAGGCACGACGGTCATGTCTCCGCCGTCGACGCATTCGCACTGCGCGTCGTGCCACACCAAGTTCCACTGCCTCAAGACCAAGGTCGAGTGCCATCGGTGCGGCGACACAGTCTGCAAGCGCTGCATTCTCGTCAACGTCCAGTGCAAGAACTGCTGCTACGGCCACCCCGACCGCGTGCGGGCGCCGACGTCTCCCGACAACAACAAGGTCGCGCATCGCCAAACGAGTCCATCGACGGTCATCGCCGAGGAAGACGACGACGAGGACTTGTCTCTGCTCCGCGTTGGCACGGAGGCGCAACCGTTGCGACGGACGTTCGTCGAAGGCGGTCGGTTCGACAGCCACGTCAGTGCCGTATCCGGATACTCTATCTAATTATAATGCATACGATTCGAAAGCAGAGGTTTATCCAGCAGTAGCAGAAAGGATGGACAAGCCGCCGGCCAGCGAGGACGCGCCGCTCGACATCTCGTGCGCCCAATGCTTGGACGATGCGTTCAAGTGCATCAGTACGTGGACGCGATCGTAGGTAGATGATATTGGCTAATGCTGTACGTCTAGCCGTCGGCCACCAAATGACGTACTTCTACCGCCACGGCGAAGTGGACTCGTGCAATGGCCGCTGGACCGACATCCTGCGCTGCTTCCGCATCAAGACGATGAAGCCCACCGACGCCAAAGAGTACTTGAAAGGTTCCAACATCGATCCTGAGCGTGAGCCCCACGTCGCGTCCGTCTGGAACCTCAAGCAGCGCCCGGGCTGGTAGATCTCCTCTTGACCAGCACGACATGTCAACTTGTCGCGACACCTAAACTCCATCTAGACTGTTGTGTTTCATCGAGTCCGTCTTCACACCAGCAAGCAGTTTTCGATTGCTGGTGGTACAGATCGAGACCTTGCACGACGTCCAGGAAGTGGTGGTGGGTCCCCACGTAGCTCAGCGCGTCGAGGCAGGCCGAGGTCCCAGGGTGTTGGCTTCACTGCACTACGCTGGAGAGCAAAATAGTCCGTTGCAGCATAGGTACTCAACCTCATCGACGTGGCACAGCTGTGGACGCACTTCACAAAATAAAAGCTCGGACCAGCGTTATATCGTGTTATGGACGTGGCGGTCGAGGATTCGCAGCGCTAAATAGTTGGCGCACTAGGCTTTTTCTACGTTTGCTAGCGACGAGAAGCACTGCTCTGGAGACAGTTTGGGGTGGCGGGACTCGGCGTGCGTGACGAGGACGGGCGGGCGGCTCGTGACCGAGAACGACTGGCGGCATACGCTGCAGATGTAGGCCTCGGCGTCCGCGGCCGACTTGGCCTTGGTCTCCGACGACACGATCGATCCCTTCTTCCCCGCGGCCTTGCGCTCCTTCTCCTTCTTCTTGAGCTGCATCTGCAGCTTGTTCATCGACATGGTCGTCGCTTCTGGCCTTTCCTTCCGAGACTGCCTCTCGGTGGAGCCGGATTGGTGGGTTCCCCGAGCTGTCGATGCTCGTATTGGTCAAAATGCTGCGCGTTGTGATTCGCTACCATTTGCACCAATCCACGGCCGCCGAGGATACCGAGCCAACCGACCGTGATGGAGTCGGAGCCGTCGAACCAGACGCCGTCCACGGACAAACCATCATCCGAGCGCAAGGCGTCGGCAATCGCCGAGGCGCGGCAGGTGTTTGAAGCCCGACATCGAGCTGTCCAGGCGCAGGACGTCTACCTCTTTGGCCGGGACCCATACGCTGGCGACCCCGCGCAGACCAAGCAGGGCGACGTGGCCGCCATCACGGACGACTTTCCACCCGAGCACATGATCCTCGAGCTCAGTGCAGGACACGAGTGGTCGGCAGCCTTGATGCAAGACAATAGCGTCTACACGTGGGGCAGCAACACAGGTACACCGTCATCATTTGAGCCCAAGCCTTTATGTATGCAGGCGGGCAACTGGGTCGCGGCGATACGGTGTCGGTGGCTAAACCGACGCTCGTACAGAGCTTCCTAGGCATCCGCATTGTTCGCATCTCTTGTGGTGGTACGCATGGGGGGTTCCTCGCGGATACCGGCGCGCTTTACATGGTCGGGGACGGCCGCTATGGCCGCCTCGGCAACGGCTCGATGGAGATGGCGCTGACGCCCGTGCAGGTAATTACCGCTTCTAGATTGAATGCGACGATTCGTGTTAGATAACGTGCACGTACGACGCGCTCAAGGAGCGTGGTCAGGCGCTTGGGACGTGGCCCACGTTCCTTGACGAGCGAGGGATGAAGCGCGACGAACCAACGACGTTTGCGGACGTGAGCTGCGGCGACCGACATACGCTCGTGCTCGTGCGCTCCATGGCCATCGTCAAGCAGGTGCTTTCAGGAGATGTATGCAGCATGGTGCGAGAATTTCGGGCTAGGCGGTGCTGGCGTTTGGCGACGGCAGCAACGGCCGCCTCGGTGTCGGCACGGACAAGGACCACACTTTGCCGTGCTTGATCGCAGCGTACAAGACGCAGCAAGGCATCGTGTTTCCGCCCATCCAAGTACAGAAGGGTGACTTGATCTCTCATCTCAATGAACTATGCGACAGAGAATCCACGCCGGCCCGAGCCATAGTCTCGCCATCACCCACACGGGCGAAGTAGGTCCATACGACATTGGCAGCGACCCAATGTGAACATAGCTCTATACGTGGGGAAACGGTGGCCACGGACGCCTCGGCCATGGATGCGAAGAGAGCGACTGGTCGCCGAAGCGCGTCGAGTACTTTGCCCTCACTGGTCCCCAAGCAACAGCGACGACAATCAAGCAAGCTGTCTGCGGTCTCACCGCTGCATGCATGCGCGTGCTTGATCGGCGGTTGTAGGCGGAAGTCACACATTAGCGCTGGATGCCCAAGGCCGTGTGTACTCGTGGGGCCGAGGCGACAACGCGCAACTTGGTTTTGCTGACTTCAAAGACGCGTGGACACCCCACGTCGTCTTGCCTAACGAGGTACGCGCTCTGGGTCGTCGCTGCAATGCTGTCTCGTGCGCGTAGGCGACTCCCGGTGTTGTTGGTCGCGCGATCGCAGCAGGTGCGTCATCCTCACTTGAACCCAAAGCGACGCACGCGCCCAGGGCGACTGCACTCAACCGTGATTGACACGCGCGACCAAGTGTACATTTGGGGCGACAACGCGTTGGGTCAGCTGGGCTTACCACCGACGTCGGTACCATTCCAACCGACGCCGCTGACGTTGCCTTCGTCGGCCATCGGCGGCGCGTCCGGCACGACAACCGTAGCGCTGGGGGATCTCTACTCGCTTTTCGTGGTGAAGCGGGACGAGACGTATCATTTCCACAAGCTCCGGCTCTTGAACGAGAACGCAGACGAGAGCGGAGCCAGTCAAAATAGCGACACCGCTGAACAAGTCAGGTCGCCTCGAAAGACAACGTTTTGGTCCCGGCGGCCGTGGCGACGTCAAGCGAACGAAGCGCCGGCATCGAGCGCAACGACGTACGCCTGTGGTTGTTTCCGCAAAGCCACGTTCAAATGCTAGGAAATGGTCGTTCGCGATCCACGAGCCCACCGAGTCGCTCGAGTTGCCGTCGAGCACGGATCGGTTTCTGCATTTAATGGCGACGACCAAGATCGCCAAGCGCCTGCCACAAATGAACCGCCGTAAACAACTACGTAGCACATATCGGTTGACAGCGATATAGAAGCGTCCATGGAAGCGATGCACCGCAGTCACGCCAAGCTCGCCACCTTCCATCTGACCCAAGCCGACCACGAGCCCGAGTCGAGACGAATTGCACAGCCAACAAAGCCAGTTGTTGTAAAAGGTGGGGACTGATCGATACATTGATACTAGATACGTGTCCACCAGGGATGGCTTCGTGGCGGGCGCGACGGACAGGGACGACGAAACACACGACGGCGGCATTTGGGTCGGCACCGCGGTTCCACTACCGCAAGCCATCAACCGTGACCCCGACCACAGCCATCGTCGTAGAGACTCCGTCCAAGCGACACTCGAACAACTACTTCGGTCTTGCCAAACGACTCGAAGCTCCCGTACTACCGACCCCAGGCCCCGGCGCGTACGACATCCCGCGTATTGCAGTGCCGGAACGGGTTGGGACGCCGTTTGGATCGACGGCGCCCAAGACTCTGTGCTTGACCAAACCGCCGTACACGCGCGAAGCGCTCGAGCTCCACCCCGAGTCGGCGGCACCCCTCGTTTACCCAACGTCACCCAGCATCAAGATCGACGACGGCCATGGCTATAGCCGCGTCGTGGGGCGCCAACTCGCCAAAGGCAAGGGCAGCACGCCAGGCCCCGGGGCCTACAACCTACCCAGCGCTTTGCAGTAGTGTAGAAGTAGCAGCACGTTGCTCATGGTCGAAAGTAGCAAATCACAGACAAGAATAACATTAGTTGGACAAGGTGGACAAGCACCAATAAATAAGAGAGCGCGTCAGCAGTGGCCATTCGCGAGGCGGAAGCAAGCGGCGTCGGGCGTCAGCGTCAACGTCGTCACCACAATGGCAAACGTCAGCCCGAGAAGCAGCGTTCCCACGAGCGCGCGTGCAGCGCAGAGCGATCTGCCGCCTTCGTTCTTGAGGTACTGGAGCTCAATCTTCTGCGGTGGCAGGAGGACGAGCCAGAGAAGCGCGAGGAGCTGCGCCGCAAACGAGATGAGCATCGACGTGGTGACGTGCCACCTATCGGCGTCGCTGTCGTCGAGCCACATGGAGTCCGAGACGCCGAGCGTCTTGTCGACGGTCGAGTAGAGGAGGGTGCCGAGGGGCGTCGACCAGTTGTGCGCGTTCGTGACGAGGCTGGCCACCGTGCCTTCATTCCCGCGTTCGGCAATCTCGATCGCGCAGAAGAAGGCGACGAGGAAGCGTATGGCGATGCAGAGACTGTCGGCGAAGGGCACCCAGAGGACGATGTACGGTCCGCGGCGCACGTCCCATATCGTAAGCAGCACGAGCGCCATGTCCACGACGACCGCGAGAATACTCGAGCCCGCGACGAGGTAGCGCCAGTTCCAGAGCAGACCGGCGCGGGCGATGGCAAAGAAGCCGAGCGCAATCACAAGGAGACTCAGCGTGTCCATGATGGAGGCGTCGAGGGCCGTGACGTTGCCCCACTGCTCGGCGAGCGGAAGGAGCGCGTTCGAGTGGAAGGACGCAAACAAGTTGTGGAGCACGCGAAAGGCCACGACCTGCCAGAGTACTCGCGACTGCATGAGCTGGTAGAGTTGGTGCAGCCACGACGAGAGTCGGACGGCCTCCATGCGCGGCTCGACAACGTCCCGCGCCGTGCCCACGAGCGCGATGCACGACGGCACGAGGAGGAGCCCATAGCCGACGTTGGGCGCCACGTCAAAGTCAAAGGAGCCGCCGAGCCCGCGCGAGTTGGTGAAAATGCACACGTAGACATGCCCGACGACCGCGGCGAGCGTCCGGATCGCGTACATGACGGCGGCGACGTAGCCACGCCGAGGGAGCGGCTCGCGCTGGGCGTAGTGGACCGTCACGGCGTCCGCTGCCGCCGAGACCATCGCGTAGCCAAGACCGATCAAGACGGACGCGATCACAAACTGGTGCCCGTGGGCTTGAGTCTCCATGTTGTACGTCGCGTCCCGCTCGGCAGCGCTAAGCGAATCGAGGCGCGTGTAGTTGCATGCAGCTTCGGTGCGCGGGCGGATGCGGCAGAATGGGTCGTGGAAGTTGGCAAGCGTCAGGAACGCGAGGGAGATGCACGTTGTCATCCAGCCGAGGAGCATCCACGGCTTGCGCCGGTAGCCTCGGATGGGCACGCAGTCGCTGAGCACGCTGAAGAAGATCTTGAGAAGCCAGCCGAACGAGATAAGGATCGAGTAGGCCAAGACCTCGTAGCCAGTGAGGCCGAGGTAGAGGTTGAAGAGCGGGTACACGAGGCTCGGGATGATGCCATACAAAAGTCCGAGCGCCACGTACTGCAGGATGAGCCCGCGGCCTTCGCGGCTCTGCAGCGCGACGGCGCCGCCAGGTATCAGCGCGCTGCTGTCGTCCATGTGAATGTACTCTATCGCGGGCGGCTCTTTCGCCTCCATGACGGCGGTCGCCGTCTGCATGATGTCGTACAGCGAGGAGGGCCGCATGGCAACTCGCATAGTGGCCACCAGAGTGGCACTCGCAAGATCGGCCAGGTCAGCGTACATTCCGCAATGTATCGCGTACGTCTCCTAATTTGTATGCAGTGTACGTACGCTGAACGAGTTGCGGAATGGACGAGGTACGGAGCCGTCATCCTAGACAGGGCGGCTGGCTCTCGGTAGGGGCCATTGCCGCCAACCTTCTCACTGCTACGATGCTCAAAGGACTGCTGGGAGGAGGCTGCATTGCTGATTCAAGCAGAGCTGTGCCCTTGCCCGAGCTGGTGCTGCAAATTCCCAAGCATGCAAGCGTAAGGAGACGCGCAGCACCGAGTGCAGCACCTGTTCCGACGACACCTGCTGACGTGTCCGGCACTCGGAGAGGGCCGCCTCTGTACAACAGCATTCTCAACGCTGGGTTTATTGCTTGGATATCGGCGGCCAAACCTCATGCAACATGACGTGCCGTTGAAGTACGTCTGTTCGCGAAGCTTTGGGTGAGACGCTTGCAGCATTCGAGCGACGATGTGTACCGGTACGTCCAAGGTCAATGCGATCCTGGCGCTGGGACTCTGTCTTGAAACCAGCGGAATTCGACTGCAATGGTAGAAGAGTCCAAGCGCGCATCTTCGTCTGCACTGCCAACACTACTCAAGTGAATGGACGGGTATCAAACATATCCGGACGGAACCGGAGGCTTCATTTCCAATGCTGCGCCGTTGCTTGCTGCCAGTCCGCCGATCGCTCATGGCCAAGTCGATGCACACCAAGACGCACGTCGTCGCCGTCGACAAAGCGAGCGACACGATCACGTTCACGCCCAAGGCCCAGCACTCGGCGTCGCTCGTCTTCATGCACGGGCTCGGCGACACGGCCTACGGCTGGGCCGACACGATCCAATTCATGTCGGCGTCGCTTCCGCACGTCAAGTGCATCCTGCCCACGGGTACGTGGCGTCGCCATATTGCTTGCCTCCACATTATTGGAATGGGATAGCGCCGACGCAGCCTGTGACGCTCAATCACGGCATGGCGTGCCCGTCATGGTACGACATCCAGTCCCTCACGAACCGCAAGGGCGACCCGTGCACTGGCATCGAGGCCTCGCGCGACCGTATTCTCGGGCTTATCGAGAACGAAATTGCCTCGGGCATTGACGCGTCGCGTATCGTCATTGGCGGCTTCAGCCAGGTGCGCGCCGCCACCTCGTTCGACGCAAGACGAAGTGTAGGGCGGGGCCATGTCTCTCTTTACGGGTTACCAAATGCCGCATGCGCTCGCAGGCGTCCTTGTTCTCTCTGGCTACGTTCCCAAGTCGGATGTAAGCGCCATCATCATTAGCATCATCTCACGCGGCGTAGACCTTTGCGGTGCCCGACGCCCTCAAGGACGTGCCGCTCCTCATGTGCCACGGCGACAGCGTACGCCGACGATGCGAGCGAGGTATATGTGTACAAGGTTGTCTGCATTAGGATATGGTGGTGCAGCTGAGCTGGGCGGAGCTTTCGGTCGAGAAGGTCCAGAGCCAAGGCGTCAAGAACGTCGAGTTCGTCGTGTACGAGGACCTGGACCACGGCTCGTCCATGGACGAAATCAAGAAGGTCCAAGCGTGGCTCGCCAAGGTGCTGCCGACCGACGCCTAGACGCGCTTCCATCCGCAATAACATGCTTGCTGTTGCGACCAAGGCCAGCCATCTCGTTTCCTTGGAAAATGCCGGGACCAACGTATCGTGGGGCTGTTAGAGTTGTAGTAATTACATCATGTACGTGGGTTGGTCGCCGTTGCTCTCGAGTGGCACAAGCATCACGTAGCTCTCGACGCTCTGCTGTGTGAGGAGGCTTCCGTGCTGGTTGCTGCTGCCAGCCGTCGTCCACCCGTTGCCGTCGCTCGGCGTGTGCTCCTAACAACGGACGTTGAATACGATCCCGGTCACAGAGATGGTCGTACGGAGCTCAGGCCTTCGTCGCCACCGTCGTTTGGGTTGATGCGATGTTGGCCGATGGGCACTGTCGGGTGACTCATGCGCAGGACCACCGACGGCCGCCGGCGCATCGGGCTCACGGTCGCGTTCGAATTGGTGTTGGACGCACTGCTGGCTACGATCACGGTACCGTCGGGTGACGGCGCAACCAACCAAGAGGGCGTACCGCTAAACGCACTCAGATCTTCTTCCGGGTACCGGTCCTCCTTGGCACTCGTGGGCTGCAGTAGCGTATCGGCGCACCGGTCGTAGCTTTGTCGAACGACATGGAAGGGCTCAACGCGCGGTTGCTGGAACGTTCCAAACGGCAGCGACTGGTTTGACGACGCCGCGCTGCTGCTGTGACGCCGCGCATGCCTACAGCATCAGGTGAGAACGACGAGAAGCAATCGCTGACGTACGCGTACTGGGGCGGATCGCTCGGGCGGCGGTGTGTCGGCGGCCTCTGGCCTTCCTGAGGACCGTAGTGCTCGTACATGCGGAAACGCTCTTCGCTTGCGAGCGAAATCGTGTCGCCGTTGGCACGCGTGCGCGGCGTCCGCGCCATCTGGAGCACCTCGGGGCCAAGGTGGCGGGGCGGCGCTCGGACGCCAGTGTCCGGTCCGTACGATGGCGGCTGTTGGCGGGGCACGTACTGACTGATGCTGCAGCTAATGTCTGTGATCATCGTGCCGCGGTCATCTTCGTTGGACTCGTCGTCGAGCGGCTCCGAGTAGAGCTCGGATGTGGGCACGAGGCGCATGTCGGCCTGGCCGCGCGTCGTTGCCGAGCACAGCGTGCAGATGCGCACGCGGCGAAGGCCGACGTTGGGCAAGTCGAGCTCCCAGACCGAGTGGCAGCGCTTGCAGATGGCCTCGCCGCACTTGCGGCACGTGAACTTTTTCTGAAAAAAGTAAAAGCGCTTGTAACAGAGAATGCACTCCATCTTTTCGCGGAGCGACGGGAGCTCGAGGTCGCCAAGGAGCGGCTCGGACTCCAAACGCTGCTCTTGGAGGACACGGTTGAGGTTCGAGAGCGCAGCGATCTTCCGGCGTGCCATGACGTCCGACATCCACTGCGGCGCCGACCCTTTGCAGTCGATCTCGAGAAAGTAGTGGCACTCGAGCTCGCCAGGCTTGTTGGTTTCGAGGAAGACAAAGCCCGAGTAGTAAAAGCTGCCGCGGATGATCTTGAGCGCCTCGAGCGGTGGACAGGCGGGGATCTTGACCGAGTGCATGGCGTGCGCCCAGCCGCGGCGGCCGTCGGGCGACGTAAACTCTTCATTGCACTAGACAAGACACGATGACGAGATTTGCACCGAGAAGAAACGTACCTCGAGGTAGACAAAATCACGGTTGTACGAGAAGGGCACGGGCGACGCGACGCACGCCCACGTGATGCCAATCGAGTCTCGCGGGCGCGCGCCAGTGGGCTGCGTGAGGTTGTAGAGAACCATCGTGTCGAGGATATCGCGGGATCGCATGATGCTCTGACCGCGGTCGACCTTGAACTGAAGAGCGACCTCTTCGATCGTCGCGTTGACTTGTGTGACGCCCCGATGCAACGACGACGCGGTCGCACTTGTTGGCGATCGAGGGCGGCTGTTTCGAAGGCGTCCAGACGTCGTCATGTCCCCGTGGCTGAAGAGGTCGTCGCGAAGAGGTACCCCAATGTTCTTGCTCATGCGAACACCGTTGCGGACATTGATGGTCGACCACTCCGAGTGGGGTGAGTACGACGTCTCAATGAGTCGGAGGCAGGCCATGCGAGCGACGAGGACGAGGTACGCCTCTTCTTCGCGGTCCATCTCGCCGCAGTGGAAGTAGTCCCGCGGCAGCGGCATGTGGTGCTCGGGCTTCATGCGATCAGGAAGGCCGTCGGGGGACCCAGTTTCAAAGTAATGTTGTGTGTCACGCAGCGGTTTGTGCCAAGTGCCCGTTTTTTTTACTCCCCCCCCGAGGCTCTAAAATCCCAACGCATACAAACTTCGAGGTAATAGTTGGTCCACCACCCCCCTCTGTCGCCGAATTGTCCCATCCAAGCACCATACAAACGACAGGTGGTCTCGTCGCCTAGAGTGTTTGGGCCTAGGATCTCAAACCTCTCTCCCAAGGCGTCGTGCGTCGTCACCAGAAACCAAGGTGCGTACCGTGTACTCGGTGCTGCTATTAGCTACTAGTAGGCAAAGTCCTTGGCGCACAGTATCCTTGGCCGAGAAAGACGTGCCAGAAGCCAGTGGCTATCACGCACGAAAAATTGAGCGCCGAGGCCCATCACCAACATCGCTTGCTTGTTGCTCTATCTCACTCGTCGTCCCTCGGCGCCGATTGCTCTTCAATAGCCTAGGTCTGTAGCAATAGTAATGGCACGTTCGTCGCTCGAATCGAACACGGCGAACGCGGCAGTAAGCTCGTTCGAGAGCATAGAACTCACGCCGCCATAGACACTGGACTGTGCCGCCGCCAAAGCTGCCACCACGCGCTAATGGGTTCTGTGATGCTGAAGCCAAGTCTCTCGTTTGCTTGAGGAGGCCGACTTCTTGCATGTGGCATATGCCACCCTTGACACATTCGGTTGATATCCGGATAGCATGGGCGGATGAAAATCTTGAAATGGAATCGCCCACGAAGCGGGTGCGGACGTCGCTGACGCTGGAGGATGCGGCAGACGTGGCATCGCCGCCCGTGAGCAAGATGACGCTAAGCCTTGCACCGTCACAAGACACGCCGGCGGCCATCGACGATGCCACCTTTGACGACAGTGATACGTGGGACGTCCCGACGCGACTCTGCAAGTGGCTGGCTGCGAATGGCGCGGACCTCGAGAAGCTGCGCATCGAGACGTACGCACCAGAGGTGCGCGGTGTGCACGCCAAGCGTCCATTCTCGGCCGGCGACCGCGTCATGCTCATTCCTCTCAACTGCCTCATCACTGTCGAAATGGGCAAAGCGACAGACATTGGGATCAAGATCCAGCACCTCGAGTTCGGCGCGCCCAAGCACATCTTCTTGATGATGTATCTTTTGACAGACATGGAGCTTGGAAACGACTCGTTCTTCAAGCCGTACTACGACTCGCTGCCGCCGACGCTGCACAACTTACCCGTCTTTTGGACCGACGACGAGCTGCGCTGGCTGCAAGGGTCACACATCCTGCACCAGATTCGCGACCGCAAGGCCACGATCGCACGAGACTATGAAGCCATTTGCGTCGTGGACCCGGCCTTTCGCCGCTTCTCGCTCGAACGCTTCATGTGGGCGCGCATGATTGTGTGCAGCCGCAACTTTGGCATCAGCGTCCATGGCTTCAAAACCGCGGCGCTCGTGCCGTACGCCGACATGCTCAACCACTACCGACCCCGCGAAACGAGGTACAACGCGCTCCCTTCTTTGTTCTCATTGGGTGTAGCTGGACCTTTGACGACGACGCCAACGGGTTTACGATCACGGCGCTGCACGGCATTGCAGCTGGCAACCAAGTCTACGACTCGTACGGCAAAAAGTGCAACCACCGGTGCGTTCAACGTCAGTGCCGAGTCCGCTCAGCGCGCGACTAGGTTCCTTCTCAACTATGGGTTTGCCGTGCCCGACAACACGGAAGAAGACGGACGCAACCCGAACGAGGTTCTCTTCCCGCTCCAGCTCCTCGAGAACGAGCCCTCGTCGCTCTTCGGCAAGAAGCAGCGGTGCTCTGCGACGTCTGCATCGCGCACGCTGAAAGCTGCTGTAGGTACCTCCACGACAGCGGCGTGTACTCGATGGACACGCGCTTCAGCACGTACCACGGCGACGCCAACACGCGCGAAGGTCTCATCGTGCGTCTGGCGTTCGATATGTATCGAGCTGCGTAGGACTGAGTTTTCTGCGCCTCATTGTCGCGACCGAGTCGGAGTTTGACGCGTTCTCGGTGCAGACGCCGGCGCACGCGATCCCTCCGATTTCGCTCGAGAACGAGGTTCGCGTGCTCAAGCACATTGCGGCCCTCGCCACGGTGCAGGTATGGAAACGCCTCTGGAAGCAGAGACAAGACCCGATCGTAGCTGTTCCAATACGCCACGTCGCTCGAACAGGACATGGTTGCCGTCGCGCAATGCCCCGTCTTCTCCAACCAAGCGCAGGCGCTGCATTTCATCATGGGCGAGAAGCGCGTGTGCATGTACTACCAAAGCATGGCCTACGACGTCGCGCCGCTCTGGACGCAGCCGCACGATGTCATCCGAGCACGCGTCGTCGCCGAGTACGAGCCCGAGGACGACCCCAAAAGCCGATACGTCGACGATGTCACGGCGTTTCTCCTTGGCGACCCGTTTGAGTAGCGGTGGTTCGAGTAGCGAATTTAACAGTGACCCATGGGCTTGCTTGTGATTTTAGAGCTACGGCAGAAGCGCAAGTGACAGCCTCGGACGGCCCAAGCACTTTACGAGGCGCTCTTGAGCAGGTCGGACGGATTTGGGATCGCCCATACGTCTCGCCCTTGTGTGCTGGGAATGGCAAGCTGTTAAAGCTTCGGGCGAGCACGTCGGTCGAGTACTGGCACTGGCACTTGGTGAACCGAATGAAGTGCAACAGTATTAGACGCCTGGTCGGCGGGTGCGGTGCGCACACCCATGGTGCGTCACGTGTCTGTTCACATAAAAGCTCTTCGGTTCTTGCACCAGATAACGTCGCCCCGACACGACGGCAGAAGAGGATGGGCGATCAGACGCAGTGC